TAAGTGTCTCAGTACAGGAAATGTATAAGTGTCTCAGTACAGGAAATGTATAAGTGTCTCAGTACAGGAAATGTATAAGTGTCTCAGTACAGGAAATGTATATGTGTCTCAGTACAGATTTTATTACATTTATTTATATAACAATTTCCACCCAATGTGGTTTGCGAATTTACTTGTCATTTTTGAAAAAACAGTTAACGTCTACGTCCTCATTAATGAAAGACTCATATTTATGTAAGAGTGACTCACCAAATATGTTATATCAAGGTAAAGTTTGAATACGACTGAAATCTATGTATATACACAGGTACAACTACAATTCTTTTTGGTTGATGCTTTCGAGACGTGTAGTTGTTACTGCAGTACTTATACAAGCACATCATACCGATAGACCTCGTGACTAAATCTGCAAGAATTAGCCATAATCTTATTATTCCTGTTAAACACCAAATGTCCTAACATTGAATGTATGTACTGAAGTTTGTTTATATTACAGGGCTGCTACGACAAGATCATGAAGATGCTTTATACCAACAGTGCTATACTTATAGGAGTGGGAATGGGCGTTGCATTTTTAGCGGTATGTCAGTTTCCGTTTAACAACTTAATTTTTGTAACAAGCTGTTTGCGATTGTTTTTCAACAGCATATTTGCGAGGTTTTAAATAAGCTGAATTAACAGCGATATATATATTTATGTTATATGTTTAATTTCGTCTGGATTGATATTTACGATTCCCGATGGTTTCTTTTTTTTGTTTGGTTTCACGTGAATATAAATGTTTATTTATTTTGCAAATTGTAAGTGATTTAAGGTAACTAATAATAAGGTGCAAACTAATTGGAATGTTCTTGATTCAGTTCGTATAAGGGATTTCAATTTCTTTTGATTAATTGGTACACAAATATTTATATAAGTCCAGTTGTAACTGCAGCAGCATCTTACGTTTCTTTAATGATGCAAAGGTTTTTGCAAATCCATTGCAAAACACACTACAAACCGAGTAATCATATAATTTATTGTACCGCGATATATTAGTTCCCTTGAGTACTGGATGTTGTATGCATATCACAAATATTTCTTTTTAATTTGATTTTGTTTTGATTTCAGGTGTTAGGGATTATATTGTCGATTTGTCTATGTCGGAACCGCACGGAGTACTGGGAGTGGGAATAACGGCGTTACATTATCAGTGTACCGTCAACTGTTACCTCACCTTCAACGTCATTAATGTAACATCAACTGTTACCTCGTCTTCAACGTCAGTAGTGTAACATCAACGGTTACCTCTCCTTCAACGTCATTAATGTAACATCAACTGTTACCTCGTCTTCAATGTCAGTAGTGTAACATCAACGGTTACCTATCCTTCAACGTCATTAATGTAACATCAACTGTTACCCCGTCTTCAACGTCAGTAGTGTACCATCAATTGTTACCTCACCTTCAACAACAGTAGTGTACCAGCAACTGTTACCTCGCCTTCAACGTCAGTAGTGTACCATCAACTGTTACCTCGCCTTCAACGTCAGTAGTGTAACATCAACTGTTACCTCGCCTTCAACGTCATTAATGTACCATCAACTGTTACCTCGCCTTCAACGTCAGTAGTGTACCATCAACTGTTACCTCACCTTCAACAACAGTAGTGTACCATCAACTGTTACCTCGCCTTCAACGTCAGTAGTGTAACATCAACTGTTACCTCGCCTTCAACGTCATTAATGTACCATTAACTGTTACCTCACCTTCAACGTCAGTAGTGTACCATCAACTGTTACCTCACCTTCAACATCAGTAGTATACCATCAACTGTTACCTCGCCTTCAACGTCAGTAGTGTACCATCAACTGTTACCCCACCTCCAGTGTCATTAGTGTGGTATCAACTGTTACCTCGCCTCCAACGTCAGTAGTGTACCATCAACTGTTACCTCACCTTCAACATCAGTAGTGTACCATCAACTGTTACTATTAACGGTTATCTCTTAAAACGTCTACAATGCACCATTGACTGTTGCCTCGGCTTCAACGTCATCTTACTATTAATTTGACTTCGCCTTCAAAATTATCAATCAATATGACATCAACTGCTATTGTCTTTAACAACATAAGTTTACCATCAACTTTTACCTCGCCTTCAGTGTCATTAGTGTGGCATCAATTGTTATATATTACTTAGCCTTCAACGTCATCAATTTATCTTCAGTTGTTTCTCGCCTTCAACATCGTCAGTTCCATCATCTTTTACCTCGCCTTTCGTATCAACGATGCACAATCAACGTATTTCAAAGCAACAACTGTTACTTCATTTGTATTGCTACCAATGTACAGCATTTGTTAGTCGCCTTTATTGCAAATGCACAAGCAATTCTTACCTTGCCTTCAACTTCATCAATGTGCTGTGAACTGTTACCTCGCCTTTTTGTACCTGAGTATGTAAATAGCCACCAATGTGTGTGAACAACCACTCATGATTGTAGCTACGGTAAGCATTGGTGTAAATTACTGTCCCTGTATTGAGTAACCACCAATGTATGCGAGTATCTTTTCATGTGTAACCCTACCTGTTTAATCACTCACGTGTGTATGCAATTATTCACATATGTATATATCTGTCCATGTGTGCAAGAATCCACCAATGTATGCGAGTATCTTTTCATGTTTAACCCTACCTGTTTTAATTACTCACGTGTGTATGCAATTATTCACATATATATATATATATCTGTCCGTGTGTGCAAGATTCCACTCATGTATGTGAGTGACCAGCTGTGTATGTAAGGATCCCGGTTTAAATTTATCCACGTAGGTGTAAATAAAATATCGTAAGAAACCTATGTATTTACGTATGTTACCAACCACCCATGTTGTAAGCAAGAACCCACATATATAATTAAGCATTTACGTGTAAGAAACTACAATGGTTTGTAAGCAGAGGTTGTTAAGACACCTAGCATTTATACACACTACCAAAATATAAATGTAAGCAAACCCCTATTGCGAGAAAACAAACAACTATGTATGTATATCATCATTGATCCGTGTTTGTAATCAGCCATCTCTGTATGAACCGTCAAAATAAAAAGAAACTAGTTCAAGTAACACTGGCGTAAAAAGTCACCTATATATTAAAAAATAAAAATATTTTTTAATCTAAAAATAACCTTGAGACAATGTAACGCCTAAATGGACTCAAGATTGTAACACCAGTACTGTATGTAACACCTACATGAACATTAAGACTGTATGTAACACCTACATGAACACCAATAATGTATGTAACACCTACATGAACATTAAGACTGTATGTAACACATACATGAACACCAATACTGTATGTAACACCTACATAAACACCAGTACTGTATGTAACACCTACATGAACATTAAGACTGTATGTAACACCTACATGCACACCAATACTGTATGAAACACCTACATAAACACCAATACTGTATGTAACACCTACATGAACACCAATAATGTATGTAACACCTTCATGAACACCAGTACTGTATGTAACACCTACAGGAACACCAATACTGTATGTAACACCTACAGGAACACCAATACTGTATGTAACACCTACAGGAACGTTTAGACTTTGCACCGTTTACAAAACATTGGGATTGTACACTGAGATTGTGCACAGCCTAAAATAAATACTGGAACTGTAAACTTATATTATATGTATACGAATAGTTAATATAACAAAGTATTTTAGACATGTGATTTTGATATGCTATATACAGATTAGGAAGAAATGAATTTTGTCATATGCTGAGAAGGATAACAAAACCATCATTACGTTATTAAGATTGATACCTATAGAAAAGGTTTGTTCCTGATGGTAAACGATTTCATTCTGGTACAAAGATTTTAATTGATGCCTGTGATTTTAATTATTCATTTCATCAAAAGAGACTTTGTTAATCCAGTTCAACAGCATCGTGATACAAGAAGATCTTAATTGAATATAATCTGATAAAATAACGAATGTGAAGTTATGTGTCATATATGTTCCCCAATAAAAGCATAGTGACCCTTTACCTTGAAAAGTCATTTTTAACAAGTATTCTTTTCAGTTCAAAATATTGATATAAGGATTCTACAAGGGAACGTTGGTTTGTAACCTCAATCACGTCTTACATAGTCAATGTGAAATGAACGTTCGTTTACCTGATGCAGGTTATATACAAAATACATTGAACTATACAATACTCTTAGATTTTGCGCTTTTATTTCTGTCGCTCTTTAATAAATGTATCTTATTCTTAATTTCAGTATAGTTGTTACCGAGATGAGAGCGGCTATTAATTGTTTTCATCAAAAAGATATTGATCTAAAGAAAATCGAAAAAGGTGCAGTCAAATTTGTATTCAGAGACGACCGCCAACAAGTCCTTATGGCGGCATCTTATTGCAGGTGATCTCTTAATACGAGTTAAATTAACAAGAGTTTTAAACATTACCTCTCAACAAAGTCACTCTGAAGAGCTTTCCTACCGGGTAAGCCAAGCTATTTAAACAAAACACAACAGAAGTACCGTAATATAAGATATTGTTGAATATTTGTTGCAGATTTAAAACGAGGGGAGGGCGAATATTTAATATGTCAACATTCAAGACGTCAAAAACAGCATAAAATGAGCATAAAACGAGGAAGCACCCAAAGTGTTGAAAACATGGCTTATTCTAATAAGAAAATTTCTTTTCAGTTCATTGTCAAAACAATAAAGTAAAAATACAAATGAGTTAAAACATTACTTCAAGCTATTAAAACACTTACTTCTATTTTTTTCAGACCTAATACTTTTCCTTTTTCCCAATATTCTACACAAAAATTGATATCCATTAAATGGTCTCTCGTTCGTGTATGTCTACGGTACACAATCACAAGCTGTCTATCTTCTTTCCATAAGTAGCAATCTGAAGAGATGAAGAGAATGGACGCTTACCTTAACACTGATAGAGCAGTTTTACCAACTTTTGAAATATGATAGAAACAATGACCTGTAACAATCTACATCAAACGAAATATGCCATAAACACACTATTGAAGGACATCGCTAGAGCAGTGGTATATACTAGTAACCACACAATCCATTGCTACAGTGTATGTTATAGATCTCGGGGGTGGGGGGTGGGGGGGATGTAAAAACCATTTCATCATATATCCCAATTCACATACATGTATATTTATTCCTGTCACGACATCACAAACCTGATATGAACGTTATTGTTCATGTAATCACGAGATTTTAACATTGCCAAACACCTGTTTCCCTATAGAACCGAAACCAAAAATCCCGACGTAAATTTTCCATGAAACAAGCCATTCGGATTGATATGTCTCGCCCATATCAGAGAAACATACTTAAACGGAAAAAACTTACTGTTGATAGAGATGCTGACAAAGTCAATAGACCATGAAAGACAGGCCGCATTCTGCATTTGATGCATGTGTTGAGATGTACCACCTAAGATGCATTCATATATGGCCCAAGTTCGGTTGGTCTAGCACTTATACTTTCAGTGAATCTAACTTAAACGCAAAAACTTATTGTTGACGCCGGAAAAGCAACACCTTAGACTCGCTTCCACTTCGTGGCGGCGAGACAAAAAATGGCATTTTTACTGCTTAAAGGGGATCTTTACATAGAAATACCACTCGAATTATATATAATTCACCTCTTAACCACTTTCTTAGATGCAGAAATCACATTGTACAAAATCTTAGATGCAGAAATCACATTGTACAAAAGTGCAATATACACAGCGAACACAGCGGAAGTGCCGACACTGGCCGAGGATGTTTGCAGAATCGGTATGAGTTTTGCACACAGTTAATTGGATTTTTCTGTTATTCTAGTATCCTGTGTACAGCCTTTCGTGTAAATTAGTAAAGTTTTAAAACAAAGTGTAGGCTTGTCTACAGGTTTCGGTGCCGCAACCCACGACCACTTAACACCAAATCAGCAACAACGCATTCAAACGAGAGCTGTTGGAGAACAGCACAGCTCGCCTATTGGTGATACATGTTGTGAGGTAGATATGTACAGTACCTTGATATAATGCCCGTCATTTCATTTGCCACCTCGCTTATCAATGGTTGTCAACCTTTTGAAATTTCCATGGGTGAGATAACATGTTCAACCTAAAGATAAAGTACACTTTTCAGATGAAATCATCAGATCTTTGAAAATAAGAGTAGTTTAGCATCTTCGCTGGTTAAAAATGCTAAGGGCCTAAAATCGAGTCTCCATCCTTAATAGGGAGAGTTGGCAAGTATGCTTATCCCGAACCTATTTATGTTCATGTCCCTTAATTATGTTTTTCTTAAGAATTCCTTTATACGTTTTCCTCAATGTATTGCCAATTTCTTTTATAATGCCAATATTCTTTGAACAAATGGTATCAATGTAACAAGGTTTTGCTGTAACTTAACATATTGTATATTTCAAAAGGAGAATTGACCAGACAACGTGAAATAGTCAACAGGTATAGATGGTGGTGTCCCATCCAACCTCAAGCCCCAAGAATTCCAATTAAGTTGTTTTTGGCCCCTAAAATATGAAAATATGGTTCAGCACATTGCTAACACTCTGTCTCTCTCTCTATATATATACTTCAACCTTATAATAGACAACAGCCTATTGATGGTGGTGATCCAACACTTCACAAAAGAACTTGCCCAAAAACTTAAACCTCAAGCCCCCAAAACATTAACCAAGTACAATTGACCAATTCTTGCCCCTGAACTGTGAAACTATGGTTCAACACATTGCTTACACTCCATATAAATGCCTTAACATTATAATAGACAACAGTGTATACGTATTGAGTGTGATGATCCAATACTATCTGGAAAAAAACTTGGCCAAAAGCTTTTAACCTCAGCGAAGTTGGACGCCGACGCTATACATTGCCCAACCCCCCACCCCACCCCACCCTATTCTCCGAATAGGCCGGCTAGTTATAATAATACATATGACGTTAAATCAGAGGATGGAGTGTCGCTTTGAAACCTGATTAATAATATTAGAACACAAATCAGAACATATTTGTCATTGGAACGCTGCTGTTTTTATTCAGACATTAATATAAGTTACATGCGTTATATATAAATGACAAACCAGATGAGCATTTAAAGCGCAGACTACTATTGTAACACAAACACACCGCATCATTAAATGATCTCACCTCTGAGGTAAAACAGACATGTATACAATAGCTATGATACTAACGTAAAAAATAGTCACAAACCCTGTCGTACGTTTTTATTCTTCAAGTTGTGACCACTAGACAGGAAAAAGAATAAGAGTAAAAAATCGGGAGCTTCTCGACAACAGTAGGGACACCTGACTTGTGTGTAAGGTAAGTAATAGCCATCACCCCCGCGCACACACCATGCTGCTGTAAACCGCTAATTTCGAATGCAGTGGAGATATTGTGTGTGACCATTTATCGAAACATTCCTCCACCTATATTAAATGGCCGCGTTCGTTTAGATCGCTGCTCTATACAGTGAGGTGCCAAAAGTCTTTCCAATGAAGTTTTACCCCTTCGATTCCAAGATACTTTAATTCTTTAAGATGTGGCTCCGCTCGTTTGTGTCATTTCGATAAATTTTCGGATGCAGCTAGGTCTAGTGCTTATTCTGGGGACATAAAAATTGATCCGTTTCTTAGATTCTAGATTATCTTGATTTCATTCACATGGCATGACGTCAACAATAACTTTTAAGCGAAGAGAGTTTTACCTCGATCATAAATGTAACCAGCAGATACACGTGATAATTCTCTAAAAGGAATTGACATCAAACTCGATGGAATGACGCGGCCGGGTCCTAATAATTAACCAGGAATCAAGTAATTCTATACAGAATCCAACGGGAAAATAATGAATCTGGAAGAAGGCTTGGCACGTTACTGATATATGGACAGGATACCAAGTAAAAGACGTTTTATGCAGAACAATTTGAATATGACGTCAAAGTCAATTACAACTTTATTTAACACTATGGTTCTCTGATTGGTCAGTTTAATAAGAACAATACCAAGGGTTTTCTTTACACTAGCAAAATTATAAACAACACGTTTGGCCATGTCGAGGACCAACATTTTAGGATATGCTCACCGGCTTATAATATGCATGTTGGTAAATTTTAATTCATCAAATTCCTTTAGAATAAAGACGTATTAGGGCTAGATTTGAAAACAGACAAAAGAAAATCGCTATAATTGTATTTATATTACTTGTCTGTCCAAGTGTCAAGACTTATTTATTCCTCTCATGTCTGATCAACAACATACAACAGAATAAAGAGAATACCTTGTCGTCAATCTGAAAGTATCGGACCAGTGTTAGTTGTTGAAAAAAGTGCAAAAACGATGTTTCCATTATTCAACCACATTAAGTACATTTGGAGCCTCTCACAAAACAAACATCAACTGCACCACTTTGACAGAAGCTGAACATAAATATCGTGTAATCTTTGATACAACGCACATAGAAATTTGAGAAAAATTGTATACAGATAAATAACAGGTACAGTTCTTCAGCTCATAAGACAAGGTAAGTGGAACATTGTGTACAGATAAACAACAGGTACAGTTCTTCAGCTCATAAGACAAGGTAATTAGTGGAACATTGTATACAGATAAACAACAGGTACAATTCTTCAGCTCAAAAGACAAGGTAAGTGGAACATTTTCGAAGCAAATAAACCAGGAACGAATGAGTAAACCAATAGGGTTCTTTTTTGGCTTTTTGCATCAAATTATAAATTTTACCTAAGCACAGAGACGGACTACAGAGGTTGACCGTCACTGTGTTTCTAGAACATGCTACATATCTGTGGTAGCCAGTACTTGTATGTCTGTACAGGGTTCTCTAGGCACCCTTTGCTGTATTTCTACATATTGAGAAACACTTCAGATATTGATCTCCCATTATTTTGATCTTCAGTACCACTGACGAATCCTAAGTAGACAAAAAGGCCATATGATTCAGTAACGGTTTACTTTGTTTGACTTACCAAGGCCATATGGTTCAGTAACGGTTTACTTTGTTTGACTTACCAATCTCTTAAGCAGGTGTTTACTTTCTTTCCATTTCTAGTTATCTTTTTTTTGCAAATGATTTTGTTTGACTGACGGGCGGTAACTAGGCCAAAAGTGATACTTTAATAAAGAAGCGTACTGATAAATAGTTATCAATGAATGTTTAGATTGGATTCTTTGTTACCTCATTTTTCTTTGTTTAATTTTTCACCATTTGAGCTTGAACTATAAACTAACGAGAGTATACACTTCCTTTGGTTCTTACGAATTTAACGACTGTTTTTGTTTATCTATATATCCTTTGAGGTGTTTCTTTAAAATAAATAGCGTTCGGTAATATAAACATTTTGGGGATTTAGGATATATCACTTGTTCTGTATTCATATAGCCTTAACGGTATAGATTGATTTTGAAAATCAGATTATTTAACCTCTTTTCCCGATAATTGGAGAAAACTTAACACCAACGTTTCCTTTTTTTATATACTGATCTGTCATTACTCTTCACAAAATCCATCTATCTTCATTTTGAAGACATTTGATATGTTCATATTTTAACATGCAAATGGCAACAGGTGTCAGTGAGGATATCTATAAGGCGGGGTTATAGAATTCCCAATGCCGCCAAGTCACTATTTAGCAGATACTTTATTTACAACAATAAATTACGCCTTTATCAAATTTTATTTGACCATTAGCTGTTTATCAGCTGATATTTATTATAAACTTGGAAATCTGATTTGACAACTCTAAATGAAATACATCAAATTATGTAAAACGGTTTCGACTTGTTCACAGTCCATTGATTGTGAAATAGGATAAGTAGAAAACTACTGGGTTGATCTATTTCCCGTTATAAAAATAAGTTTGCAAATATACAAACTGCTGAAAGTACGACATCACCAAATAATCATTTTTACAAGGGATTCTGACAACTCCCTATGACAGACGACCATATATGCTTCAATATGTGATTCTACCAGTAAGTACTTCGGGGAGGTAATATTACTTTATACAAAAAACAAACTATGCTGTCTGTATTACATTTTTTGAGACACACAAACATTGTGTGTAAACGTTCCCCAAACTGATGTTGTTTGTTTTCCCATGTTTGTGTTGGTAAACGTTTACCTTACTGAAGATCAAAGTGTTATCTGTAATTACGATGGTAGGAAACCAGATGACCGGTCTCATATAAATATCTCCTTTTTCAAACATAATTGTTCTAATTGCTTCAGCTTTTTTGTTGCCATCAGAGATTTATAAATGCATGCCATCATTGATGCAAAAATGTCATACTTCTAAAAACGTTTTTTTAATTGTCTTATCAATACTTTATTCTATATGTATTTTAAATGATGGTCAATTAAGATAAGATAAAAAAAAGGTTAATATTACATGAGAACCTCCTATTAAAAAGGGACTTGTAGAGCATGGGGTTATGTCCCAGCCCCTAAAATATGTCAATCTTGCACCCTGTAAACGTCTCTAACAAGTTACGGAGACTCAAAATAATGACTGAGAAAGCAGGACAGAATTAAAATCAAGAACATCACAAATAAATAAATAAAATGTACACTTTGCCTCTATCAACAACACAATTAATTACAGAGTTTGGTGTATATATGTTAAAATACAATGTGACAATTCAAACGACAGCTGGATGTAATAATGTTCATTTTATAATTAATGTACAGCGACAATGTAATGGACAAAACAGCTAATCAAATTAGTCTCTCAAAAACAAATTTTATCAAATACTTTCGTTCAATAAAAAACTCACAAATAAATATCTTAAATACACTTCACTATATTCGTCCCTTACAAACACATCTGACCCAATTAGTCTCTCTGAAGCACACCTGACTAAGTAAATTCTTCTGAAGCACACCAACTCAAGTCAGTCTCTCAGAAGCACACCTGATCAAGTCACTCTCTCAGAAGCACACCTGATCAAGTCAGTCTCTCAGAAGCATACATGATCAAGTCAGTCTCTCAGAAGCACACCTGATCAAGTCCGTCTCTCAGAAGCGGTGTCACTCAAGTCAGTCTCTCAGAAACATATCTGATCAAGTATGTCTATCTGAAGCACACCTGATCAAGTAAGTCTCTCTGAAGCAGACCTGATCAACTAAGTCTCTCAGAAGCACACCTGATCAAGTAAGTCTCTCTGAAGCAGATCTGATCAAGTAAGTCTCTCAGAAGCACACCTGATCAAGCAAGTCTCTCTGAAGCAGATCTGATCAAGTAAGTCTCTCAGAAGCAAACCTGATCAAGTAAGTCTCTCAGAAGCATACCTGATCAAGTAAGTCTCTCTGAAGCAAACCTGATAAAGTAAGTCTCTCAGAAGCAGACCTGATCAAGTCAGTCTCTTAGAAGCATATCTGATCAAATCAGTCTCTCAAGAGCAGGCCTGATCAAGTCAGTCTCTTAGAAGCATATCTGATCAAGTAAGTATCTCAGAAGCAGACCTGATCAAGTAAGTCTCTCTGAAACACACCTGACCAAAATGGTCCCACACTCTCTGAAGCACACCTAACAAAACTAATCTCTATTAAACACACCCACACATATAAATTTCTCTGAAACATACCTGACTTACAGTGACAATGTCGAACAACATCACGTTCATTGGAAGTTAAGGCCCATGTCTTTTTTCCTCATTGGGTATACATCGGTATTTACTGTCTGGGGAACTATTATATATAATAAAATAATAAAAGGCCAGTGATATTGTCGAATGAAATTCATTAGATTTGAATGAACAATTGATGATCAGACTTAACACACTATACAAATCATCATTACCTGTCCATGCACTTACTTTACATTTATTTCATTAACAAGTAGGTCGAGACAAAAATACCGGCCATAATGTCATTAACAAGTAGGTCAAAACAAAAATACCAGCCATAATGTCATTAACAAGTAGGTCAAGACAAAAACACCGGCCATAATGTCATTGACAAGTAGGTCAAGACAAAAATACCGGCCATAATGTCATTGACAAGTAGGTCAAAACAAAAAAACCTGAATGTCATTAACTCCAAAAGGTTTGGAGAGAAACTTAATCATTTAAAAATCTGATAAACAGAAGTGCAATTAACTCTTAATCAGATTATGAAGAGCACCATAGGGCGGAGAAGCTCTAATCACACATCTCCACAGAGAGTCGCTAACACATGTAGGACTAGGAGAAGCTCTAATCACACATCTCCACAGAGTGTCGCTAACACATGTAGGACTATCACGCCTACTATCATAGCTATCAACTGACACTCATATATAAGTTTAAAATAATTTGGTGTAAATTCATTTATTTTACATTTTATAATATTATTGTGTCCATCATATTTGTTCTATTTTGGTTTTTACAAAAACAAAAACATTAAGAACAAAAACTGTTATAGGATGATATATAGCCTGACTTGATCTGACTTTGTATAGGTGTGGCTGTATTAGAGGGTACAATAAACCTGTTTGATGTGCTATCTCAATGTCAGATGAAGAAATGCAGTCAAACTCCTTACTTTAACTGTAGAAATAAGACATTGGTTTTAACCCCAAAACTGCATGTCAGAGTCAGTGCCCCAACAATACACACAGAACTACAAAGTTCCACAATGTGATGTCAGTTACATATTGACATGCAAATTTTGGGATTTGCCATCCAACAATATAGTTAACCACAGTTAAAGTCGAAGAGTCTATTACTTATATATATATTGGCTATGTGACATAGGTATGTCGTCTGTATCCTATACACTTTTATGTATATTATCTTTATCACACAATCTTATACCATGTTCAGCATCACTCTCAATTACAGTAATCTATTCTTGGTGTTTACATGAAGAATTTAATTATTTTGGAATTCAATTGAAAGATACTTTAAAATCACTGGTCATAATCATGCAGTCACCAAGTTCCTCCAGACAAAAGTCACCAAATCAAATCACATACTATGTGTCCGTTTTGTAGCAGATTCCTGGAATAAGTGACCAAATCAAATCTAATACTATGTGTCCGTTTTGTAGCAGATTCCTGAAATAAATCCAAAATGCAGTGCCAGTTATGTAGCAATAATCACAGGAATTTCTAACCATTTGGCTTACAGGTTCACGTCAGCAGTAACACAAGTACCCAGTAATACCGGAGAATACTCGAAACCAGCATGTCCGGTAGGTTTAGGAATTATCCACCTCATATTGTTTGCCTTGTCATATATATCCATACAGATATCGGATGAAATTACCTCAAGTTGCACAAAAACTAGCATTAATTTGCGACATTATCATAAAATGCGAGTCCCCACATTACTTCTAAGCGTCAGTAAGCAGTTGACACTACCGTCCAAATCATGAAGCTTTGTAGAACTCAAGTAAATCACAGGCACGTCATCCCAGCTCAATCTACTTCATATCACAATCTGCTTGTACCCTCTCCACAAATAACGTTGTCTAAATACAGTGCTGGCCTAGAAACCATCTCTATCAAACTATCCCAAAAGTTTATGATTTATGAGAATGGCAAGTCAACACTTCAGGAGAGGAGTAATTCAAAGTACATGTACAGTAAATTTTCTATCATTATGATATGAAATTTAAGCAGCTGTACTAAAATACAAGTCATGTTGGAGTAAAATTGTTTTGGCTATTTAGGAACCGGTGGGCGAGAGGGTAGGCTGGGTACGGATGGAAGGGTACGGCGAATTCTTTGTTGTGTGGATGGCAGTGAGGGTTGAAGAACGGCATTGGCAGTGAATGGTCGACTAGGGGGGAGGGGCCTCTCTGCTGCCGAGGTGCCTCTAATCACAGGCTGAACAGCCTCAGAGTAGATATTGCTGCGATCATATTTCCTCCTGAAATGTAAACATTTCAACAGAAATTGTAATTGGCAGATATTTTGAAAGAATGTTTAGCAACATAAGACTTAATTGAAAAAATGTGTATTGTCTTGTCAGGTCACAAAATTATTCATACAATTTCATATCATTGAATAATCATCATCAGCATGGACAAGTATTACAAATATTTAGCCCTTGTCTTTTTGCTGTTGCCTTGAACTTGAAGTACCCTAACATAGTTGGCAAACAATACCATCTAGTCACAACATAGCCAGGATCCATTTATCTAGTTTCTTAAAAACATCAACAATCTGCACTTAAGATTTTATTTTAAGGATTCTTTAAAATGTTAAGCAAATATGTTGATAGTCTACATGGAGGCCAGTATTGAATGCTACAAGACTAGAAAAAAACATTTGGGAGATCACTGGGTATATATGTCATCCATGAAGGTTATTAAACATTTTCACTGTACTACAAATTATCAAAGGTTTACAAAGGTATTGACTATCAGGTAGTTAAGTTGTTAGCATTCCACAAGATCTTTCTATTCTTGATACATGAGTTTTTTCCCTTCATAATTGTTATTTTTATGCAGTTCAAAAATACTGGGGTTCTAATCCTACTAGGCAATTGTCTTGGGCTAATTCATAAAAATTTGGAGATTGCTTAGCAGTTAGTGGGAGCAAATAGGGAGTCTATGTTCAACTAATTCACATTGTAGTAAAAGTATTTACCGGATACTGCTAGGACCTGACGCAGATGTTGGAGGGCTCGGTCCCTCTGTAGACATGGCATGCACAGGAGGTCGGGGAAGTCCTGAGTTATTCACCCTTAGTACACCCCGCACAGGACTGTTTCCCCGCACACCAGTTATCGGCTGGGAAGGAGGAGCAGGCCGCACAAAGCCTTTTGACTTTGGGCGGGCACCATCACTTTCTGACAACTGTCTGGTTTCCTGTCTGTCCAGAACTGACCTGCCATGGTCACTACCCGTTATATCCTGGTAATTTGCTGGCTGTTTGTTGTGCAGGCGCTCCACAACCATTTTGTGATTTATTGATCTGTGGTCTGCAATGAAGAAATAACCTTACATAATCATAACAACATATCAATTATATAGTTGGGTCTTGTCCAGCCCCCTCTTATCTGGTAGTCATACTATCAACCCAATGTTTACTAGAAGCTGAGGTTTATCAGGGAATTTTGGGAAACAGACCTTGGTTCCAAATAAAGAAAATCACTGACAAAACTAAGAAAACTGGAATTTTCAAATGTTTGGAATATGTAAAAGGTTGTTATATCAAACTTTATTTTTTTTCATTACCCTATAGAAAAGACAACTCAAAGTTTCTTAAAACATGGTAAGTTTACCTGGACCTTAAAACATGGTGAGTTTACCTGGACCTAAAAACATGGTAAGTTTACCTGGAACTTTAAACATGGTAAGTTTACCTGGACCTTAAAACATGGTAAGTTTACCTGGACCTTAAAACATGGTAAGTTTACCTGGACCTTAAAACATGATAAGTTTACCTGGACCTAGAAACATGGTAAGTTAACCTGGAACTTAAAACATGGTAAGTTTACCTGGACCTTAAAACATGGTAAGTTTACCTGGACCTTAAAACATGGTAAGTTTACCTGCATGGACCTAAAATGAGAGACAATAAATCCCTATAAGTTGAGAAGTCAATACAGAGGACAAACTCTATCACCTTTCCTATTTGATATTTGAACTCATTTTGGTAAGCACTATATTTGAGAGGTATTATGTTAAAACATCTAATTATCTTCAAACAATGAGCCAAACACAAAATTCTTTTCAAAATAAAAGTTACCTTGACTTTTGACAAGAACCAAAATACAATAAAAAATTTGACTTAGATGAACATATTTCTGAATCAGTAAGTCAAAACAGGTGGTATTTCTAAAGCTCTCGAGCAGAAATCAAAGTTCTGTTTTAGTAATGGTAGCCAGTACCTGTATGTAATGATGTCATACACATCCCCAACTAAGACTGCGAGGTAAACAGTATCTCTATCTAAACACATAGTCTCAATCATGATTGGAGTAAAAACCAAAATTTACTTTCAGAAAATTAAATGGACCTGTGACTCTAGTCCCTTGAAAGATTTTGAAATTTTAATGGAAATGTGAAATTGATTTTATGAAATTTTAATATGAATTTTGATGTAAATGTTAATCACTGAAAAATAATTTTACATGTATGTATTTGAATGCTAATTTGAACAAGAGTACCACGGGGTGGAACAATATACGCCTGTCCAATGCCATATAGTGTTATATACTTTCTTGAAATAGGATCTGCATCATTCTAAGAGTGGTTAGCTGATATGCTATGAAAAATGTAGGAGAAAATCTCAGGACAAAAAAACAAATACTGAAATGAACAAAGGGCAATAACTTTTGCAAAACTCGTTGAATCAAATTCTTTTAAGGGAGACACAACTTCATATCATGATTATAATGTATACCAAGTTTCAAAGAAATCCGTCAAAAAATGTAGGAGATCTCCGGACAAAAAATCAAATACTGAAATGAACAAAGGGCAATAACTTTTGCAAAACTCGTTGAATCAAATTCTTTTAAGGGAGACACAACTTCATATCATGATTATAATGTATACCAAGTTACAAAGAGATCAGTCGAAAAATGTAGGAGGAGATTGCCGGACAAACAAAAGTTTACGCCGTCCGGCCGTCCGGACAACCCCATACCATCATACTTCCGTCAAATTTGACGGGCGTATAAAAATGATTTAACTCTGAAAAATAAAGCAGTCAAAAGATGCGGATTTAATGTTGAATTCTTAATGACCATTATGTTAAAATTTACTGATTTTCTTCAGAAACATAACTTCTTTTGAACATTTAGCATTAATTTTACATCGCATAAAGTTTTAAAAAAATATTTTGTTTGTTAAATTTGAACTTTAGATCTTTTATTTTTACTGTAAATATTTGGAAATAGGTGACTCATCTGAACAGGCGGTCAGATCCATAGAGTATAGCTTGAATGATTTACAGAACTTCCGCCCTGGCGATACCCTACAGGTAAACACATTAAATACTTTATGACAATTTTCTGTAGAAGGTCTTGGGATCAGTTTTGGCTAGTTTCTTACCCTCTTCTGTTGTGTCTGCATCAAGAGGAGAGAACCCAAGGTCATCATCAATTTCCTCATCCTCGTCGGATGTGATTTCCTCCCCAGACAGACTGATGGCGTCGTCGTGGTCCACAATTAAAACCTGGGGTGCTTTTGTCTCCTGGATTTTGATCATCCGCCTGCATGGTGATAAAGAATGAAAACAAATAAGAATGTGGTCACAAAAGTTTTAAAAACAATATCATTTTGCTAGAATTTTCAGCGAAAGTGTCAAAGGCCGCGTAATACAGGAGACAGTGAACATGTGGCAAAAAGTATTTTCAATGAGATAGTGTAGTCATATAAAACTGCATACTTGAAGCCAGTTGGGGAGATGTCAAAAGGAATTTTAAATAAGGGGGAACTGAGAAAGGAGTCAAAAAGTGCTTACATTGGGCAATTGGAGGAAAGTGGTGGGATATCAAATAGGCAGTTACATGGGCATTGGGGGAAGTCAGAGAGGGACTGTTGAAAAGTGCTAACATGGGGCAAGTAAGAGTCAGGAAGAAGGGGAAAGATGTCAAATGGGGCAAGTTAGAGTCAGGAAGAAGGGGAGAGATGTCAAATAGGGTAATTAAGTAAGAGCCAGGAAGGAGGGGAAAGATGTCAAATGGGGCAAATAAGAGTCAGGAAGAAGGGGAGAGATGTCAAATGGGGAAAGTAAGAGTCAGGAAGAAGGGGAGAGATGTCAAATGGGGTAAGTAAGAGTCAGGAAGGAGGGGAGAGATGTCAAAAGGTGCTTTCATTGGCAAGTGTGGGAGAAGACAGAATCTAAAGGCAGTAATGGTATTGGATGTTTCAATACAGCAGAGGCTGCTGATAGTCTCCAATTAAAACCTTTTTTTCCAAATTTGACAGATAGCCAAAACTTTCAATCACTACTTTTTACAATGTGTATTTCAGGATAAAATTGCAAATTTCAATTGCTTTTGTTGCAAATGTTTTTCACTATATGGTATCTGTTTACAACTTACTGTTCATGATCTTTTTTCCAAGCTTGTAATTCTAAGGTTATTTCTGATCTCTCTCTATCATCCTCTGGAGGTAGATCATAGGTGTGCTCGGGCTGATGTTGGAACTGAAAAGGTTAAACGACACTTTATACAATTCTACATTACTGATAATTCAGGTATTATAATAAGACAGTTGAACTAATAGGTTATCTATGAGCAAAATGAGTATGGTAGTGTTAACAAGCATCAGCTTAGGAATATGTTGTTTCATTTCCAAAATATGTTCATATACAAAAAAAGATGATGATATGGCCATGTGTAACACTTCAATGTCATGTATTTATTATTTATAGCACGGATTCCCTGTTTGCTGGGTAGGAAATATACAACGTTAGTCTCTTTAAACAGAGGCGGCAGCTCTCCGTCAAAACAAAGACTAGCTCTGGTTATCTAGTGATATATTGTCACCAATGTAAGCTGTGGAGATATTTATTTCACTCCTTCACAGGCTAAATATCAGGACTCGTATGGTTTAGAAGAAATAGTTTGTACTTTTTTTACACATTGTCCTTGTAAACTTGAAAAGGGGTCAAGGTTATTTAAGCATTTGATGACTATCTAAGTCAGGTGACAAACCTACCTGGGGGAACATTTTTGGAGCAGTAGCCTCCTTGTTTTCTGGTCCTGTGATCCGTCGCCGTGACAGCAAGGCTTTGGAGGGATTTCCACAGATGACCTTCCCCAAAGTCAAATCACTTGATGCTTCTTCTGTCCGGACATCTGGAACATAAAACAAGCACTCAGAGTAAGGCCACTTAAAACAGCAAAATATCACCATTTGTGTATATTGTTATCCCACATTTGATAGCTAATATACAGCGTGTAACCAGCTGTGAGTACCAATTTGAGCTGCCTGTAAACGTACATGACAGCTGTGTGTGACAGGCAATGCCAAGCTGGCTGTTATATTTCTTACCTGTTGTATTAGTGTTACTGACTGTGCCAGTGCTAGGTCGTGCTGTGGCTGGCCGTAAACTTCCTGATGTGGTAGCAGGACGTCTTGACCCTGTGAGAGGACGGAATCCTGATGATGGCCTCAATGCACTGCCAGGTCTGAAGGCTGTGGAAGGACGCAAAGAGGCACTGCTTGGCCGACTGCCATCTGAAGGGGCTGAAAAACAACAGTCAATATATACATTTCCTTTGAAGTCCTTATATAAACCTTCCAACCAAAGGTTATTGCTATAATCCAACAACAGCAAGCCATTACATGTGAATATTTTCTAATTTAAAAACTGATCAAGTGTTTCCATCAAACTGTTTGAGTAATTGAGGACCAAAAATGAGGACCAATCATATGCATTAAGTGAAGTCAGATCTAAATTATGATGGGAATTCCCAAATGGTTTCTGAATGTTTTCTACCTGACAGGACAGGTTACCATAGAAAGCACAATCTTGTTCCCCCTGACAAAACAGGTAACCATAGAAACAACAACCTTGTTCCCCCTGACAGAACAGGTAACCATAGAAAGCACAATATTGTTCCCCCTGACAGAACAGGTAACAATAGAAACAACAACCTTGTTCCCCCTGACAGAACAGGTAACCATAGAAAGCACAACATTGTTCCCCCTGACAGAACAGTTACATAGAAACGACAACCTTGTTCCCCCTGACAGAACAGGTAACCATAGAAAGCACAACATTGTTCCTCCGGACAGAACAGGTAATCATAGAAAGCACAATATTGTTCCCCCTGACAGAACATAGAATCCATGATTAATCAACATAGAAATGTCAACAACAATCCATGGACAGTAATCATAGAAATATCAACAACAATCCATGGACAGTAACCATTGAAATGTCAACAACAATTAATGGACAGTAATCATTGAAATGTCAACCACAATCCATGGACAGTAATCATAGAAATATCAACAACAATCCATGGACAGTAATCATTGAAATGTCAACAACAACCCATGGACAGTAATCATAGAAATTTCAACAACAATTCATGGACAGTAATCATAGAAATGTAAACAACAATCCATGGACAGTAATCACAGAAATGTCAACAACAATCCATGGACGGTAATCATAGAAATGTCAACAACAGTCCATAGACAGTAATCATAGAAATGGAAACAACAATCCATGGACAGTAATCACAGAAATGACAACAACAATCCATGGACAGTAATCACAGAAATGTCAACAACAATCCATGGACGGTAATCATAGAAATGTCAACAACAGTCCATAGACAGTAATCATAGAAATGTAAACAACAATCCATGGACAGTAATCACAGAAATGACAACAACAATCCATGGACAGTAATCATAGAAATGTCAACAACAATCCATGGACAGTAATCATGGAAATGTCAACAACAATCCATGGACAATAACCATTGAAATGTCAACAACAATTCATGGACAGTAATCATTGAAATGTCAACAACAATCCATGGACAGTAATCATAGAAATGTCAACAACAATCCATGGACAGTAATCATAGAAATGTCAACAACAGTCCAAGGAGAGTAATCATAGAAATGTCAACAACCGTCCATGGAGAGTAATCATAGAAATGTCAACAACAATCCATAGACAGTAATCATAGAAATGTCAACAACAATCCATGGACAGTAATCATAGAAATGTCAACAACAATCCATGGACAGTAATCATAGAAATGTCAACAACAATCCATGGACAGTAATCATAGAAATGTCAACAACAATCCATGGACAGTAATCATAGAAATGTCAACAACAATCCATGGACAGTAATCATAGAAATGTCAACAACAATCCATGGACAGTAATCATAGAAATGTCAACAACAATCCATGGACAGTAATCATAGAAATGTCAACAACAATCCATGGACAGTAATCATAGAAATGTCAACAACAATCCATGGACAGTAATCATAGAAATGTCAACAACAATCCATGGACAGTAATCATAGAAATGTCAACAACAATCCATGGACAGTAATCATAGAAATGTCAACAACAATCCATGGACAGTAATCATAGAAATGTCAACAACAATCCATGGACAGTAATCATAGAAATGTCAACAACAATCCATGGACAGTAATCATAGAAATGTCAACAACAATCCATGGACAGTAATCATTGAAATGTCAACAACAATCCATGGACAGTAATCATAGAAATGTCAACAACAATCCATGGACAGTAATCATTGAAATGTCAACAACAATTCATGGACAGTAATCATAGAAATGTCAACAACAATCCATGGACAATAATCATTGAAATGTCAACAACAATTCATGGACAGTAATCATAAAAATGTCAACAACAATCCATGGACAGTAATCATTGAAATGTCAACAACAGTCCATGGACAGTAATCATAGAAATGTCAACAACAATCCATGGACAATAATCATAGAAATGTTAACAACAATCCATGGACAGTAATCATTGAAATGTCAACAACAATCCATAGACAGTAATCATAGAAATGTCAACAACAATCCATGGACAATAATCATAGAAATGTTAACAACAATCCATGGACAGTAATCATTGAAATGTCAACAACAATCCATAGACAGTAATCATAGAAATGTCAACAACAATCCATGGACAATAATCATAGAAATGTTAACAACAATCCATGGACAGTAATCATTGAAATGTCAACAACAATCCATAGACAGTAATCATAGAAATGTCAACAACAATCCATGGACAATAATCATAGAAATGTTAACAACAATCCATGGACAGTAATCATTGAAATGTCAACAACAATTCATGGACAGTAATCATAGAAATGTCAACAACAATCCATGGACAATAATCATAGAAATGTCAACAACAATCTATTAACAATAATCATGGAAATGTCAACAACAATCCATGGACAGTTATTATAGAAGTGTCAACAACAGTCCATGGACAGTAATCTTAGAAATGTCAACAACAGTCCATGGACAGTAATCTTAGAAATGTCAACAATAATCCATGGACAGTTATTACAGAAATGTCAACAACAAAGTCGTATTTACATCCAAAATTATCTAAGTCTGTATATGAAAACAAAATCAAATAGTTGAATACAAATAGGGATATGCCATCCTACTTTTTGTAGGTATATATTTCTCACCCCCTCCATCAGAGGTTCCCAAACTCTCCATTGAGCCTGTCAGTCCCAAATCATTGTGTAAATCCTCCAAAAATGCCCAGTCAGCATCAAACACATTTTTTGTTTTACTTGACGGTTCCATTGATAAGGGTTCATCATCTAAACAGACCAGGTGAGGGATCCCCTTCTTCACCTCTTGTCTGTAGTCATAGTTCTCCTGTAATTTATAAAACAAAGTTGATCCATACAGACATCACCCTACAGTGATGTTCATTTTAATTGAATGGTCGTTTTATTTCATTCACAAATCAATGACAGTTAATCTTATTTAACTTTCGAAAAATATGATTTTAAATATTGGAGTTTATTTTGCTCTGATTGGGATCATTGAATATTGAACCTTGTATTTTCATTAATTCAGCATTTATTTCAGTGAAAGATATTTCCGCTTCCGAAAATGAAAACTTACATCCTCTCTGTCTGGTGCAGGTTGAACACAAAGTGGGTTTGCTTCTAATGTGAGATTCGTCAATTTCAGGCAGAAGGACAGATACTGTATTTGTGATATGTCATCTAGATTATTCCTGCAAGATTAAAATTAAAATATCAATATGATTTATCAATAAATTTTGTCTCACTTGCCAAGCAATAAGAAAAAAAACCAAAAAAACATAGAACCGTATTAAACAAATTATATATTTAATATAATTTGATTTTAATAAAGTTTTATGAAGTTTTCTTTGTCGATCTTTAAAAGTTCAGATCTTAATTTTGGTACACCACTTCACTTAATAACTAAACTAAAACTTTGGCCCAGTTTAGTTGACTTACTTTATCAATACCAACTTTCACTGACTCTGATCTAACTCCATCCTAACATATTTAGATAAGAAAACATTTACCATGTTTTGATTTAATATAAACAATGAATACATTTTGAATAAATCTAAAAAAAATATGAATAGAATTCTTTAATACTAAATTGTATTGGAGTGGCATCCGTTATATACTGACAGAAATTCTCTATTTCCTCCATACAAAATGTTACAATGGGATAACTAGCTTGAGTTTGTTTGTATTTTACTTAAGATTTAAATTGACATTTTTTTTGTATTCATTGAATGAGATCAAAACAGTAAATATCTTAATTCTGATTTAACTTGTTTCTCTCTCCACAATATACATGTATACTGAAAGGAAGATGTGTACTAGAAAGATTTTAATTACTGTTTTAAATCACTTTATATAACACTGTTTTTATATACGGTGTATAATATACTTACCCTTCTAAGTCTAGTATTTGAAGTTTGTCTAACATACTAAGTGGGCTGATGTCTGAAATTTCATTATAGGATAAATATAGTTCCTTGAGACTGCTCATGGAGGATACACCGTCAAGTTCAACCAGGGAACAACGAGACATCCACAGCACTTTAACAAACCGTAACGATGACCCCAAATCCCTGAAATACAGAAAACACACAGTTAGCACAGGTACACAAAAACGTACAACCCCAAACCTGATTTAAGTTAAAGTAGTACTGACCTGATTCTGGTAATATTCTGATTAATCAAATGTGTTGACCATTGGTCAGTTAGGCCAAGAAAAAGATAAATCAACTGCTGAATTCATTACCAATATTAGTTGTAATGATTGTGTGTAGATAATATGGCATTTCATTAGAGAGATTCAAGATTTGAAGCCTATCTCCTTGCTAGATACTAACAAGAGTTAAGCAGCAGGAGTCTCCTGATATTTATGTCCAGGTATGTTGGCATCATCACTGACTTTCTTCAACTCTTGAGCCTGTTTATAGCTACTTAGGATATAAACTACAGATTCAGTGTTTTACACATAGTAATTTTTACATGATATCATTTTTCATTCGTATAAGTAACACGCACAACAACAGCATGGAGGATTTCACAAATTGTCTTTCTTCAAAACGATTATTGGTTGACCATCAGTTAGTTAATTGTAACCAATAATTGGTCATACAATTTCCACTGATTCCCAACACTTGCCTGATACAGGGTATAACACTGTTGGAAAGTCGTAGCTGGGATAGGTTGGGTAGTAATGATCCAAAGTTCCCAAGGCTTGTGTCTGATGTGTCAACCTTCAGTTGCAGACTACTCACTACCTCTAGATTCTGTACCCCAGTCAGTAGCTTCTACAACCCAAACAATACAACATAACCAAATACACTCATGTCAAAATGTTAACATAAGATGTAATACAAAAAGAACTGAAAATTACAGGATAAGGAAATGGTTTAATCAGACTAATTAACCCTTTCACCCCTATGTAACTTTAAGTAGACTCTACCATGAAATGATATGGATGTGTCCATTATGGTCTACAGTGGTGAAAGGGTTAATGCCATGTACAAGTGTGATTAGTTCCATTATAATCCAGAAATATAAAAGTCAGATGTTTGTTATCGCTGGAATCCAATGGCTCTGCTTTCAATATACAATTACCTATAAGTTTCCAGTTTGCCAGGGAGAGATACTGTGTGTTTGCTATAAGTTACAAGTTTGCCGGGGAGAGATACTGTGTGTTTGCTATAAGTTACCAGTTTGCCAGGGAGAGATACTGTGTGTTTGCTATAAGTTACCAGTTTGCCAGAGGGAGATACTGTGTGTTTGCTATTAGTTACCAGTTTGCCGGGGGATAGGTACTGTGTGTTTGCTGTAAGCTACCAGTTTGCCAGGGGAGAGGTATTGTGTGTTTGCTATAAGTTACCAGTTTGACAGGGGGAGAGATACTGTGTGTTTGCTGTAAGTTACCATTTTGCCGGGGGAGAGGTATGTGTGTTTGCTGTAAGTTACCAGTTTGCCGGGGGAGAGGTACTGTGTGTTTGCTGTAAGTTACCAGTTTGCCGGGGGAGAGGTACTGTGTGTTTGCTGTAAGTTACCAGTTTGCTGGGGGAGAGGTGTTGTGTGTTTGCTATAAGTTACCAGTTTGCCGGGGGAGAGGTATTGTGTGTTTGCTGTAAGTTACCAGTTTGCTGGGGGAGAGGTGTTGTGTGTTTTCTATAAGTTACCAGTTTGCCGGGGGAGAGCTCGAGGTATTGGGTGTTTGCTGTAAGTTACCAGATTGCCGGGGGAGAGGTATTGTGTGTTTGCTATAAGTTACCAGTTTGCCGGGGGAGAGGTACTGGGTGTTTGCTATAAGTTACCAGTTTGCCGGGGGAGAGGTACTGTGTGTTTGCTATAAGTTACCAGTTTGCCGGGGGAGAGGTACTGTGTGTTTGCTATAAGTTACCAGTTTGCCGGGGGAGAGGTACTGTGTGTTTGCTATAAGTTACCAGTTTGCCGGGGGAGAGGTACTGTGTGTTTGCTATAAGTTACCAGTTTGCCGGGGGAGAGGTACTGTGTGTTTGCTATAAGTTACCAGTTTGCCGGGGGAGAGGTACTGTGTGTTTGCTATAAGTTACCAGTTTGCCGGGGGAGAGGTACTGTGTGTTTGCTATAAGTTACCAGTTTGCCGGGGGAGAGGTACTGTGTGTTTGCTATAAGTTACCAGTTTGCCGGGGGAGAGGTACTGTGTGTTTGCTATAAGTTACCAGTTTGCCGGGGGAGAGGTACTGTGTGTTTGCTATAAGTTACCAGTTTGCCGGGGGAGAGGTACTGTGTGTTTGCTATAAGTTACCAGTTTGCCGGGGGAGAGGTACTGTGTGTTTGCTATAAGTTACCAGTTTGCCGGGGGAGAGGTACTGTGTGTTTGCTATAAGTTACCAGTTTGCCGGGGGAGAGGTACTGTGTGTTTGCTATAAGTTACCAGTTTGCCGGGGGAGAGGTACTGTGTGTTTGCTATAAGTTACCAGTTTGCCGGGGGAGAGGTACTGTGTGTTTGCTATAAGTTACCAGTTTGCCGGGGGAGAGGTACTGTGTGTTTGCTATAAGTTACCAGTTTGCCGGGGGAGAGGTACTGTGTGTTTGCTATAAGTTACCAGTTTGCCGGGGGAGAGGTACTGTGTGTTTGCTATAAGTTACCAGTTTGCCGGGGGAGAGGTACTGTGTGTTTGCTATAAGTTACCAGTTTGCCGGGGGAGAGGTACTGTGTGTTTGCTATAAGTTACCAGTTTGCCGGGGGAGAGGTACTGTGTGTTTGCTATAAGTTACCAGTTTGCCGGGGGAGAGGTACTGTGTGTTTGCTATAAGTTACCAGTTTGCCGGGGGAGAGGTACTGTGTGTTTGCTATAAGTTACCAGTTTGCCGGGGGAGAGGTACTGTGTGTTTGCTATAAGTTACCAGTTTGCCGGGGGAGAGGTACTGTGTGTTTGCTGTAAGTTACCAGTTTGCCGGGGGAGAGGTACTGCTCCAGAAGAACGTCACTGTCCTCTAGTATTATGGGCTCTGGGTTTATTCTTGTATCTTTAAACTCGGTTATCTGCACACCTCTGGCCAGGGCACTACCAGGCCGCACACCAAAGTCAGAATTCATGTTTTGTAGCCTGTAAATACAAATGTATTATTCATATTTATTTTATCATTTAAAAGTTGTTTTAAACAGAACATAATTACATCTAGAATTTTGAGCCTCATTAAACAAGCCACAACTAATCTGGCTGTACCGAGTATTTAAGCAGTTGTATTCAAAAATCCACTCACTTTAGTTGGAAAGAAAGGTGGCTGGATTGTCAGATGTTAAATGGCAATGCATAAAGTATGTATCAACACAATAAACAAAAAAATACACATACAATTAAAAGTATCAATCATATAAAAAGTATTGAATTGTGAATGATGTACGTACCATGTCAAGATACGCAACAATAGTATTGAAACGCAGGATGTGTGAATAGTTTACCTGTTAATATATACCTAATGTTTGGAGAATAAACTAATGAAACAGTTCAGAAGTTACAGGCCAACTTTATACTTATTTTTACTCATAGCTTGATCTCTTAGTGTGACCTCAGGCTTCAGACGGTCCAACCCATGTTAGAGGTCTTGCACAGTTGATGAGTCTAAGAGCTATGTTGCATAATAAAGATACAACTACACCAGACTGGTTTAAGGGGAGGGACCAGAAAAAGAGCCATCCATCATTCTTGTTTCAAGGATTCTCCTGTCTTAAATTACAGCACATTACAAGTGTATAATGGCACACTTGACAATTTTTATACTTTGCCTCCCGTCATAGTTGCTATTACCTGCTAAAAGTTTGGCATTTATAGGGAAGTACAACAACTGATTTACCCGTTACCATTATATATAGGATCTTACATGAGTTTCCATTTTATATGAGATTTATGAAACGAGTCTTAAGGTGTGTGTTTTTATTTAGCTGGCGAGCTAAAATGAAAAATTTGTGACGAGTTTCATAAATTTCATATGAAATGAAAACGAGTGTAAGATCCTTTTTTTTATCACATAATCAAGATTTGTGGCATTCATTTGTGTAAAAAGACAGTTTTCATGCAACCTTGAAATGTAAAAAGCTGCCATTTTGACTTCAGTGCGAAAGTCTGTGACGTCATGTATTTATCCTAGGCGTGACGCCACAATTGAAACAACTGGAACTTACAACCAATCACAGGGCTGATAGGTCATATTACATGGGGTAATACGAAAAAGATATGACATGGGTATTTTCACTGGATAACACAGTACATTATGTGATAAAATGTGATCGTGAAGTACTGTACTGATATCTTTAAGCATTGTGTTTCAGTGAAGTAGCTCTCTAAATTTGTCGTCAAATCTGGCGTCAAATCTGTGCTATCACAAGGAGGCAAATATGCCAACATATCGCCTCCAGGTAACACACTACTATATACTTGTACATAAAGCGTACATGTATGGAGGCACACCTTAAATAACCTTAGGTAACACACTACGTATATATACTTGTACATATAGCGTACATGTATGGAGGCACACCTTATATAACCTTAGGTAACACACTACGTATATATACTTGTACATAAAGCGTACATGTATGGAGGCACACCTTATATAACCTTAGGTAACACACTACGTATATACTAGTACATAGCGTACATGTATGGAGACACATGTTAAATAACGGTAGGACACTAAACCCAATAAACAAAACCAAATATGTTCTGCTTAAAACACACATATCAAATACAAAGAAGATCTATTGAACAGTTTCGAGCAGTTCGGAGTTATATAATCCGAACAATCATTGTGGTAATTTTACTATGACTTCTTCATATGACCTTGACCTTGAAGGTACATCACATTGTGGGACACACTGTCTGGTAAGTAACATACCTTTTTTTTTCTTCTTTTCATTTTTCTTTTGATTGTATTTATATATATTACCTTCATTGCAGTTTGGAAGTCTAGTCCAGAAATTTGATTTTCGACCACTTGTTGTGACCTTGGGGTTGTAAGTTAAGCATACACTGTACTTGTGTATATATATATAAGCAAAGAGGATATGGTCCAATCAGTATCTGAGGAGCCATCAGAATCAGGTGTCAAAGCAGCGTGTCTCACAGTCTATATGGTATATATATGTATTAGGTAACATACCTGTAATACAGGGTATCCTGTGTGAAAGCCATCAGAATCTGGTGTCAAAGCAGGGGGTCTATATAGGTAGCATACCTGTAACACAGGGTATATCCTGTATGAGAGCCATCAAAATCAGGTGTCATAGCAGGGTGTCTATATATATTAGGTAACATACCTGTAACACAGGGTATCCTGTGTGAGAGCCATCGACAGAATCAGGTGTCAAAGCAGGGTATATCAGTACCTTGTCCACTGGGATACCCTGTGCAACATATAAAGAAAAATCAGCATCGACTAAATATTCAAGCAATTGAAATTAAGCTACGCTGTAATTATATTGAACACGAAAAGACTTTTCTGTAATTATATTGAACATGAAAAGACTTTTCTTTTTATGACTATATGAATGGACAAATACCGAACTATATAAGGCCAATTTCTAAATATATATTATTTTTGTTCAAGGTTCTACCGCATTGCTAAAAAAATTAAAGCTTGCTTGCTTGAAGGCAATAATCCCAAATCATATTCCTTAATTGGCTGTTAAATGAATAAATAAATATACAACATTTGATGTTGCGCCCTATCTAGCTAACATAAGCTACTCTAAAGCGCTTTACAGTACATAGATATACAATTTATACAATTAGCATATACATTAATCAATACACTTTTGAGGAAATCGCAGGAGCTGCCTTTTCAGGCGCTAACTACTAGTCCTATGCCACCTGTCTAATATCTCCCTACGTGTGTATGCTTGCATGTGTGCTGGAGATGTAATGTGTTACAATGTTTATTAGATTTATTTTCTTTTGAAAGCTCAGCAAATGTAATAAAATATCGGGTAAGATGTAAAATCGTTTGAACATTTCGATCACAATCTCACAAAATGAATGTAATTTTCAATATACTGAACAAAGCACATGTCCTTTGACCTTTATGCATTCCTTATTCAAAAATAAAATGATAATTAATATGAATTGATTTTTGAAAGAGAAATATACAAACAAAATGTTAAGATATGTCCAATATACTAATGAGACACTGATAGTACAGCAAGACTCTCGGTAAAAAAAAAAATAATAATCTTCAAACGGGCCAAAAATTGTAACTTTAATATAGCCATTTAAAAAATCTAAATGAAATGATGACAGGTCGAAATGCATTTTTTTAAATGGAACAACAATGTAAATGTTGACAGAAATAATCGTTTGAGAAGCACCGTTATTGCGATGATAAATGTAAAGGTACAACTCTGCAGAGAATATCTTGGAAGAGGTGTTAAACATCGATATATCACCAATCTGGTAGCTTCCATAACAACGTCGAATTTACATGTTTTTTCCTGACTTACAAGTTACCTGAATACATCCCTTTTGTCCATCAACGAAAAGAGTTCATTCTGCTACATAACTGTCGCTTTGCAACGTCAGTTTGAATGCAAATTATAAAGCTTTCCTGTAGAAATTAGTTTGTATGCGGTTGCAACGGACGCAAGTTCGCCATGTTGGAATTCCGTATTCAATACGCATGAGTCAAACAGACTTCCGATCGGAAGTTGTCATTTGTGAAATAGCGCGGGAGAAAAACACATGTGTTGAGAAGATTGTAAACATTAGAAAACATCATCTGTCATCAAGGGTTTCATTGTTAAGGTGTTCCTATTACAATGCCTCGAACAGAACGAGGTTAGAATGCTTTTTTCTGGTCCTTTATTGCGAGCTTTAATTATGGATAAGTAACAAATAGAGACTATAAGTATTACTGTTACTGTTATTGCAGATTTTTGCTAATCGACTTTTTTGTATCTCACTGTCTGGAGTATAAGTTCAAGTTCAGTGCTGTATGATCGTAAAATTATCCATCTTTATATAGAGATTTAAAGAAAGTTATTTGCTATACAATATATATTGGGAAGTTAAATCGGGTGTCGATCGCATATGATATATATATATACACTATTACATAGAGTTATGGCCCTGTGTTGAATGTTTGTCTTAGCTTTCACTTAACTTCTTTGCTGTTTCAATTCAATCGTTCTCCGCAATTGCTGTTTGCTGGTATGTCTTTAGAAAAATAAAATTATGTGGAGTGTGTTGAGTGGATTGTTACTGTTTTAATACATATAAATACTGAAATTGGTTCTTAGTGTCCCATTATATGATTACTATATATATGTGTAGAGTTATGTCCCCTTTTTCCAACAATTATTATTCCTGATCACAACTTCCTTGCTATTTCCAAACCTGCTGCACCAAGAAATTTTGGGTAGGCAGATTGTTAAGTCTGATACCAGGCATATGAAGCCTGAATAAGAAATACTGTACAGACCATTTGTAATTTTTGATAGCTATTTTGTCTTTAGCATTTTACCTTTTTTTGCTAATATATTTCACATAAATTAACCAAATATGCTATATTATAACCGGTCGGACCACTGTTGTTCGTTTATTAAATAAGGTCTGACCTTGTAATCTGATGCTGCTTTCAGACGAGTCTTGACAAAGCCCTGCATGGCCTGCATAAACATTTGCAGGTCCGCTAAGATTTATACCGGAAAATATTACATTTATAAACGGTCAAACCAGTTGTTCTGCATTAACGAACAGGCCCCAGTTCATGTATCTTGGCCTAAAGTGTCTTTGTTGCTAAACTTGACCTTAGCCCTTTGGAAAGTACAGTGTTATACATGTACTGAAATTTTTAAATATATGGCCACTACAAAAATGATGGAGCAGGCCCTTTGTATACAACTCTCGATCTTGTGCATATTTTCTTACATCTTTCCATTCATCTGCCTACAGTCCATCTGGATCTTTGTATCCCTCAATATTTCTCCTTCAATTACTGAATATTGTACATTGTGTCTCACAGCAAACCCCTAGCTATTTCCATTAGAGATGTTTTTCTTTGGTTTTTAGGAAAATATATATACCTGTATTGCATTTATTACTGAAACTTATTTTCTGAAGTTATTTTTCAGTTTTACTCTTGATATTGATTTTTGTTGTTTGGCAGTATGAATAATGCACATTGTACTTTGCAGGAGTTAAGAGAAAGAGGGACACTAATGACAAAACTGCTAAAACCAGCAACACATCCCAAACCAACACTGAGCAGAAAGCAACATCATGCTATTCACACTGGCTTATGAAGTCCGAACCTGACAGTCGTTTTGAAAAAGGAGTTGATGTGAAGGTTTTGTACAGTTATTATGTTCCACAAAATACTTCCGTTAAGCGGAGCATTGATAATTCAGCCACTTTTAAATTTGTGTCCAGGAAATATCGAGTACATGTAGATCCGTTGGGGCTGGATTACTCCAAATATTTTGTCTCAATATATAAATGTATCTCTCTGTACATAATGGCCAATATATGTTCCCTAAAACACCGGCTTTAGAAAATTGTAATTGGATTAGTAGTGGCCTAACTAATAAACAATGCTCAACTGTACATAAATCATTACCTGTAATGAAATATGCATGGATCAGGTCCTATTAAACATTTCCCAGTTGCTTGATAAACAAAATTCATTTGAAAAATGTTTTATTTTCTGTTCTAGTTTGGCATAGAAGACTTGAAAGCTTGTGAAAATCAAACAGCTTGTTGGGATGGGGTGCGGAATTACCAGGTACAAACTAAACTTTAAATTTGTCATTACTTATTCTAATATAATTGCTTCTGAAATGCACTGGTGATTTGGGAAAGATCTTTTGCCAAAGGTTGAAATATAGATACATAGATGGGATGTTGAAATATGTTTCAAATGTACCTGTATTTGGATGCTTTAAAATTTGACAAAGAATTTAAAATCGAAATGTCTATAGTAGTCCGCCTTATTGAATAACAATGTGAAATTTTGGAAAGAAAAACTCCTTTTAAGTAACATTTAATTATTGTCTTAGAAATATGTATACCGGTAAGTCTCTGATCAGTCCATACAAACAGTCAGGCCACTGTACATGTGTCATGTCTGTTAACAGGCAAGGAACTTTATGCGAGATGATATGAGACTTGGACAGAAGATGTTTTTCTATCACAGTAATACCAAGATCCCTGGCATCGCTGGTATTTGTGAGGTAAGTGATGGAGTCCAATAGCTCCGGTTTAACAAACATTCCTTAACTTAAGAAATTCCTTAAGATTCTCACTTAAAATTGAATCATGCTTTCCATAGAATAAAACTTACTTAAAGGAATTTCCTGAAGTTTAAACTTGACCAGATGTGTAAGTAAATATAAATAAAGACAACAGGTATATGATGGAGTTAAAAACTATTTGATCAAATAACTATCAAAATGTATAAAGAGTTATGGTGTACAAGAACCGGAAGTGGGTGAATTGCTTAGCTCCTGATTTGAAGCAGATTATCATTTAAACAGGTTAATATCAGTTGATCGCATACAAGTTGACACAACGTTGTAAGCTCACCTGGTCCAAAGGACCATGGTGAGCTTATGCCATACCGCAGCGTTCATCGTCCGTCCGTCGTCTGTCGTCCTTCGTCCGTCCGTCAACTTTTCCTTTAAAACGCTACTAGCCATGAACGACTGAGCAGATTTTAACCAAATTTGGTCAGAAGCATCCTTGTGGGAAGGGGGAACAAATTTTGTATAAATGATGGGTCTGGCACCCCAGGGGCCTGAGGGGCGGGGCCAAATAGGGGAAACATAGCAAATTCTTTAAAATCCTTCTTCTTCTGTAGGAATAAAAGGATTTGTTCCATATTTGGTCTGAAGCATCCTTGGGTGAAGGGGAACAAATTTTGTATAAACCGTGGGTCTGGCCTACCAGGGGCCTGAGGGGCGGGGCCAAATAGGGGAAACATAGCAAATTCTTTAAAATCCTTCTTATGCTGTAGGAATGAAAGGATTTGGTTTATATTTGGTCTGAAGCATTCTTGGGTGAAGGGGAACCAATTTTCTATAAACAGTGGGTCTGGTCCACCTGGGGGCTGAGGGGCGGGGCCCAACAGGGGAAATATAACAAATTTTTAAAATCCTTCTTCTTCTGTGGGAATGAAAGGATTTGGTCCATAATTGGTGTGGAGCATCCTTGGGTAAAGGGGAACCGATTTTGTATAAACGGTGGGTGTGGCCCCCCTGGGACCTGAGGGGCGGGGCCAAATAGGGGAAATATAGGTAAAACCTTTATAACTCTTCTTCTACCATAGGGATTAAGGGATATTATCCGAATTTAATCTGGAGCATCCTTGGGCCAAGGGAACTCAATTTTGTTTAAGCAGTATGTGTGGTCTCCCAGGGGGCGGAAAGGTGGGGCCCAATAGGAGAAATAGAGGTAAAATCTTTAAAATCCTTCTCCGACCTTAGGGATTAAGGGATTTTATCCTTATTTAGTCTGGAGCATCCTTGGGTCAAGGAGACTCAATTTTATATAATTGGTGGGTTTAACGGCCCCCCCCCCCCCCNATGGGGCTCTCTTTGAAGTTTGTTCTCGCTATATCTCAAGTGCTGAATGGATCTTTCTGAAATTTCATATATACTTACAGCACCTACCATGTAGTGCTATATCTTTACTTCATACCAATTATTTTAAACATATTCAGGTGAGCGATACAGGCCCTCTGGGCCTCTTGTTTTGATAGTCATTTCGATAAAATATTAAACCCTATTGTACACCTGTGGTGGGCGGCACTAATTACGTCAAAGCACAGGCCCCGGGTACCCTTTCAATTTGTTGAACATAAATTACGGTTCATCTTTTAAGGTGCTACATGTAACACCATTTTACAATTAAATTGGTTTGTGGACAAAATTTAATTGTTCTTGTAATAGGCTCATTTCGAAGAGATACAGTGGGTTCTGAAAATGTCAGTGAGTTCCTCAGGAAAAGTACAAGTACTCAAATATCTTGAGTCCTAACAATCACTATTATTGACATTACATATATACTCTTACAGTCTACATTGTACTGTAAAAATTATTTAACATCAAAATATGTTTTATGGTAAAATGTAAGTTGATACTAAAATTGTTTTTCTGGGGTGATGCTAAAATTGTTTTTCTGGGGTGAAAATAACATGAAATGGCCTGTTAGCTGGCACACCATCATTAGAGGAACAATTGACAAAGGGCCAAAAAGCAGGATTTTCCATTGTTTTTTTTAAGGATATCAGTTATATTGCAACCTATGCATTTTTTACTTTACTATCATGAAAAATATGCAAAGTTTAACTTTTCACTCTAATTTTTATACGCCCGTCAAATTTGACGGTATTACATGTATGTTATGTGGTTGTCCAACCGTCCGTCTGTCCGGCGTAAACTTTTGTTTGTCCGGCAATCTCCTCCTACATTTTTCAACTGATCTCTTTGAAACTGGTATACATTATAATAATGATATGAAGTTGTGACTCCCTTAAAAGAATTTTGATTCGAAATTTTTCCAAACGTTATTGCCCTTTGTTCATTTCAGTATTTGATTTTTTGTCCGGAGATCTCCTCCTACATTTTTTGACGGATTTCTGTGAAACTTAGTAGGCTAAATAATCATGATATGTTGTTGTGTTTCCTTGAAAAGAAGTTTGATTCGACAATTCTTGCAAAAGTGAGTGCCCTTTGTTCATTTCAGTATTTGATTTTTGTCTGGTAATCTCCTCCTACAATTTTCAAAGGATCTCTTTGAAACTTGGTATACAATATAATCATGATATGAAGTTGTGTCTCCCTTTAAAGAATTTTGATACAACGATTTTGCAAAAGTTATTGCCCTTTGTTCATTTCAGTATTTTATTTTTTGTCCAAAGATTTTCTCCTTCATTTTTAGCTCACCTGTCCGAAGGGCAAGTGAGCTTATGCCATGGCGCAGCGTCCGTCGTCCGTTCGTCCGTCCAACCGTCAACTTTTCCTTTAAAACGCTACTTCTCCTGAACGGCCCAGTAGATTTTGACCAAATTTTGTCAGAAGCATCGTTGGGGGAAGGGCAACAAATTTTGTATAAATGATGGGTGTGGCCCCCCTTGGGGCTGAGGGGCGGGGCCCAATAGGGGAAATATAGCAAATTCTTTAAAATCCTTCTTCTTCTGTAGGAATGAAAGGATTTGTTCCATATTTGGTCCGAAGAATCCTTTGGTAAAGGGGAACCAATTTTGTATAAACGGTGGGTCTGGCCCCCCTGGGGACTAAGGGGTGGGGCCCAATAGGGGAAATATAGCAAACTCTTCGACCATCAGGATTAAGGGATTTTATCCAAATTCAGTCTGGAGCATCCTTTGGCAAAGGGGACTCAATTTTGTATAAACGGTGGGTATGACCCCCCTAGGTGCATAGGGGGGGGGCTCCGTTTGAAGTTTGTTCTCGCTATATCTCAAGACTCCTGGATGGATCTTTCTGAAATTTCATATGTACTTACAGCACCTACCATGGAGTGCTATATCTTTACTTCATACCAATTATTTTAAACATATTCAGGTGAGCGATACAGGCCCTCTGGGCCTCTTGTTTATAGCATGTCAGCTAACCACTCTTAGAATGATGCAGATCTTATTTCAATGTAAGTAAGTATATAACACTATATGGCATTTGAGGTGTGTATTTTGTTCCACCCCGTTGTACTCTTGTTTTTAAATATAAGTGCACGTGATATTCTTCAAAACACAAGGAATATCTGGTGTAAGCTTTGGCCAATACTTAACTGTCTCCATATCAAATTAAAGCATGCATGTGTAAGGGACCCCAAATGCCCACTAGAGTTTAAGCCTTTAACAATTGTAGCTTTAGTTATAACATGGAACGTCAAAACTTACATGGTTGTACATGTATGTCCACAGATTGTAAAGGAGAGTTACCCTGACCATACCCAATTCGACCCCAAGGACATTCACTATGATTCGTAAGTAGAGAAATCATTTAGTCAAATATTGTAATTTAAAATCTCTTGTGATCAGTTTTAGTGGTATGATTGTAGGAATGTAACAGTAGAGAAAAACATTGATGGATCACAACAGTTCACCTGCAACTACATGACAACGGCAAGTTTAGGAACTTGTAATATTGCTATAAAACTATCGGTGGTTTAAATTTTTTGGGGATTTTTGTTACGTCCTTGTGATCTTTTGCTCACTGTATGTCTGGAATGAATTTGTATTTGTATTTGTATTAAATCTATAAAAAAAAAAGTGGTATGATAAGACAAAATGTCACTTACCATACGCTGGTCTGTTCTAATTACTCCAAGGTCACAGCAAGGTCACAGCAAGGGGTCCAAACTAAAATCACTGCAATGATTTTCTGAGTTGCAGCATCTGAACCGGTAGATTAACTTTATAGATATAAGTATTGTTACCAGATATTATTATTAACTTTATAGATATAAGTATTGTTACCAGATATTATTATTAACTTTATAGATATAAGTATTGTTACCAGATATTATTATTAACTTTATAGATATAAGTATTGTTACTAGATATTATTATTGTTCTGTATATTTTTCAACCATTGTAGGAGTGCAAAAAAAGGGTCTCCAAAATGGTTCATGGTTGATGTGAAGTTTGAGAGGATGCTGAAAAGGTTTATCCCATTGAGTGAACTGAAACAAATGTATTTAGAACAGAAAGATTCTGGCGGTCCTTTGTCAAAAATAGCCCTGTTCACTAAGGCCCGTTTGTCTGTGCAACCCATTACCACAGGTAGGTCCTACATGTATATCTACTGCTAGTGCATTGTATAGGTCTTATCCACTAATGAATGAATGGGATTTTTTAGTAAACAAGAGACCTATAGGGCCTGTATCGCTCACCTGTTTCTTTTGCTAGATGAAACTGACAGATTGGTAACTTAAGACCAAATTTGGTAACTAGAAACAAGACACTATAACATCTCTTAAACGGTTCTGAAGATATTGTTGTTTGAAATTTGTAATTTTAATTAAAAGCTTTTAACCCACATTGACCTTTGACTCCCGACTTGCACTTAAAGTTGACCTTTGACCTCATTACTGTAATAAAGAAAACAATTCACACAGCTGGTCTACATAACATACCCAAGTATCATGACTCTAGTCCAAATGGTTCTTAGGATATTGTTGTTTGAAGTTTTTTAACGTATTTGACCCCTGTGACCTTGAAAATAGGCCAAGGTCATTTTAATGTGGAAACTTTATAGCACTTCATCCCAGGTATCTACTGGCCAAATATCATGACCCTAGGTCCTCCAGTTCGTCGAATAAGTTGTTCAAAAGAAAAAGTTGACAGACGGACGACGGATGCAAAAGCACCCAAAACATTAACTGGAAATTCATATTTAAAGTAAAAACCAAATACATGTGAAATCATATTCTATCAATCAGTATGCTTTTATATAATTTCAGAGGAGTGGGATTTTATTTTGAATCTAGAAGATGAGGATCCGAAGTCATGATCAAGTTTGTGCGACAGTATTCATAGACAATCTGCCCTTATAGTGTGCTGGATACATTAGCAGCCATCTGCAAGGAATTATAACTACTTTTCGTAATAATATTAACAGTCTGTGAGAAATTATATCTACATTTGTTGTTATACAAACTTTGAGAAAAAAATTACTACATTTCATGTTTGTGACAATCTATATCTACATTTGTTGTAATATTTACCAACTGTGGGAAATTATAACCCCATTTGTAAACAACACCAACTGTCTCTAATTTATCAACGTCACTGTATTTATTGTTGAGAGTGTCTTAGCTATATTTCATCTCTTATTGGTCTGTCTGTTAGTCCTTTTCCGTGATAACTGAAGTTTTCATTACCCCAGTGCTCTCTGAGTTATGTTGAAGGATATCATTGAAGCAAGACCCCTATCATTTTTGTGAGGTTTCAAGTTAAGGTTAAGGTCACTGTTACTAAAATTAGAAAAGAATATTTGTAGAATGTCTTATTTATCCAGGTGATATATCTTTCTGATGACGCTGTAGTTTCCAGTCTTCACATGTGTTTTGGTCATTGTTGAAGAAAGTTCCCGTTTTTTGGAGTAAACAAAGTTAAGCTCACTGTTACTAAAATTAAAACAGAATGTTTGTAGAATGTATTATTTATCCAGGTTATATCTGAAGTTTTAAAGACCTTATTATGCACACTACATGTGTGTTGATCATTGTTGAAGAAAGTTCCGTTCCCTGTTTGTAGGGTGTATGAAGTCAAGTTCAAGGTCACTGTTACCAAAGAATATTGTTTTCTCTTCCATTTTTAGTTGAACATTAATCAAAGGTTATCCTGAGTGATGTTTTACATAAATTAGAACTTGTCACAACTGTACATGTAGTGTTCTCATTGAAAGTCGGTTTGCCAGCAAAAGTAGCCTGCATTTCATCAACTTTGAATCAGCTATTTTTTTCAAAATACATATACATTGTAGGTCAACATTATAGCGTATTAACACTCAACCCACTATTCAGTCAACCCCCTATTTCAAAACTTAGTGAGAACATTAGAGTATTTAATTTGTAATAAAAACACTTTCTTTCAGACATTGTAGATTGCAAATATACAATTCAATAAAAATACAAGTGTACTATATGAGATCATAACGCAGTGGGTGGGTGTATACCTCAAGCTCTGCAGAGTAAGGTAATAGATGAAGACGCAAATGGTGTTACCTGTAAACCTTTAAATGTAAGTTGTGAATGTATTTTATGCAAATTTTCAACTCAAAATTGGTTTAGATTTAGTTTGAAAGATTGTTGCTTTATGTAGTGTAGAATGTTAACAATAAATTCTACCTACATTGTAGAACATAAATATCTGTATCAATTATAAGTCACATCCTTGCTTTATGGATAATGAGTTGCTGTAAGTGTACACTCTACTGCCAATATAAGGTTCCTTTAGTTATTACAGAGTAACTGCATGTACTGGAGAGGCAATTCCTTTATTTTAGTGGACCTTGACTCAAGAGTGGTTTGTGTATATGATGTTTTTGTGTACATTATATTTGTATGTATAGTAATTATTGTGTAAATAAAATCAAAGTTCCAACAATATTCTGTGTTGTTGTGACTATTTGGAGACGTGTATGAACACAATATGGTTGCTAGTTTTAGACCGAAGGGAGCTCAAGTGATATAGCATGTACAGACTAACAAAAGAAAGCTATAAACCCTCTTATTGGCAGAGTGGAATCGTCATAGTGAATAATTATATGTATAAGCAGCATCACACTATGTGTTAAGTCCTGGAGTATTATAATAAATAATTGCGAGCTTAAGTGGTTGAATTTTATTTTGAGGCCATTTGCGAAGTCAAAGGTGTCGGGAATAGCTTCGTGAGCTCACCATAGAACAGGAATTGTATGCTTCCTAGCAAGTTTGATTAAAGTTCCTTCAGGAATCTCAATACCTTAATTTATAAGGAGAATTCAATTTTGTTAAAACTCTCCAGGTGAAACTTGTATAGATTCAAAGTGAAAATCAGCAAATCTCAAGTCCATGTAGCTATCTTGTTTTCAAATCAGCCTGAAAAATAGCAGCTCGTGAATGAAGCGAAGAAAAAATCATTTGTTTAATGAAAATAACTCGGCGATGGTCATTAAATATGTTTTGGTCCCTATTTGGTTTATGTCCTTATCGCCAAAATCTTTGCCCACGATTTGTACAAATAGTCAAATCCTTGACAGGCATGTAGACATTGTTGAGTGAATTAAAACCTTTTTAGGTTGCCATAAAATATGTCTTGCAAAATGTCAAGTTATGAAAAGGTTTGTTGATGCATCAAGGGCAATATAAAAAGGAATTGTTAAGGAATAAAAATAAAGTGAGCAGAAACTCCCCTTTCCCTTCACCCCACTTTGCTTGTGTTCTTTGACCCTTGACCTTAACCAATAACCATAAAATTATAATCGGGTGTAGAACTCAATTTTATCATACTATATGATGCAATATATATACTAACTTTGAAGAGGAGTTTGTGAGATATATACTTTAGTACCTTCAAAGTGGTCAAGTGTGATATTTGACCCTTTACCTTGACCGATAATCGTCAAAATCCAATAGGGTGAAGAACTTGACACCTTGCTATGGTGTAAACATGACCAAACTTGTACAAAAGATTTTTACTACAGACGATTTGCCCATTACTTTTTACCCTTTAATCTTAACTGATGACCAAAATCAGGTGTAGAAACCTTATATCATTGTACTATGGTTGGTATGAGAGGGGTGGGGGCAAACTAAACGAAGGTTTTACCTTTGTTTTCTTTAGAAGAGAACAGTTGACAAGACGAATAATTGATCTACAAATAACTGCTGGTTTTGGTATAAGCATGCCAGCACTGTGTCTGGTGAAGTAAAAATGACTTCAAAATACAACTTAGTGTTGAAATTCTTTTAATAAACTATAACTACATGTATTAATATTGCAGGAATAACAAGAGGCCCACGAGGCCTGCACCACTTTAACAATCTCAGATACATACATAATGTGGGACACGAGAACAAATTAAAATAAATAATAATAAATTATCCGTAAAAGAAACTATTATTTCCATAATTTAAGTTTGAGTTGAAAATTGAGCATTCGTCACAGAAATAGTTTTTGCTTTACAAAGTCCCCCCAAATTATCAAATGACATATGACTTAATACTACATGTATTCACAGCATTTCAGGTGCCAACACCTCCTTATGTGGTAAAAACAATTTAATGTACCAACATACCACTGCTTCAGATCTATTTGGTCATGGGTTTTTTTCTCTAACTGCTCCTTATTCTAGTATATGTCACATGTTCACACATTCAACTAAAAAAATCACAAGGGCCTGTAATTATTGATCACTTAACCAACAGCTTCTGAAAAATAAACTATTCATTTTATTATTCTAAGACCATGTTAAATTTGTAACAGCTGAGGTAAAAGAGGGGTAAGTAAATACTGTCTTACTGGCAAGCTAGCTTTTCCAGTGATGCGGTATAACCAGGGACCCACTCACTAGTTCAGCAATGTCGAGTGTGGTCAGTAGTTGGATGGGCGACCGCCCACACGTTAAAAATGTATAGGTGTAAGTCTGACACATTAACTGCCTCTGATGCATGGAGTCCAACATTTCAAACATATACCAGCACATCAGGGTACACTTGTCAAACACAGCCAACTAGGAGCAGGTTAAGTGTACATAAGAGATATAACATTGACATATTTTAAAATACTATATTTTTTTCCTTTTTTCTTTCTGGCAGTAAATGGTGGGATTTAAATTTCACACACAACTGAGAGTTCTTTTAGGCCATGAAAATGGCAATACATGCATGAAACCTCTATTGATGTCAAAGGTCAAAATATATGTCATCGTGACCTGATTTTGGTGTTGTGTGACACACTGCCCTTCCTAGGTCGTACACAAAATAGCAATTAGAAATATTTTTTTCTCTTTTTGAGGCCAAAGGTTATTCCTCTTCCTTTATGTACCATAACTTAGTTTGATGATCTTACATATAGTTGCAATAAGCTTAGGGGAGATGTAAAGGGTTACAAAATCAGACATGAACAACATTGCAAATGTATATGGTATATTTCTCTTCATGGAATGAAAAAGTAATATCATCAAAAGTTTGCCTACAATTTTCAGCAAAGCTTTGGCATACCTTATTAAGGATTCAGTGATTTATAAAGGTAGACTTATAAAAGTATTAATTGTTGTGAAAAAAGGAAAAGGGGTCGGACCTTGATTTAGGTTGCTGGTAAGAGAAATGAGGTAATTAAAATCAAGGTTTACAAAAATTAATAACAAAAATCTCATATTACAACTAGGTAAAAATGTAACTGACAAAAAAATCAAATTTCATGATATATAAAATAAGAATTATGACTAGGTAAAAAGAGATGAATAAATTTAAAAACGTTTTTGTTTTAATTCAGCTATAAAAACTATTCAGATCTGTGATTATAACATATATTAATCCTACATGTATAAAGGTATGTTTTCTGAAAAACCAAGGCGTAAAGAGGATTTAATTATGCACTACCCCAAGACTAATAAGTGGTTCTTAGCAGGAAAGAAATATTGTTATCCGTACAACTGTATTGTAAAGTTCTATTTTAAAAGTAAGAAGACAAATCATCACAGAATTATGAACAAGAGGCCCAATGGGCCTGCATCGCTCACCTGGTATAAATCTCACACTTGTAACCTTAAAAGTGATCTTAAATAAAGCTACAGGCAAAATATCAGTATTTATGATTAAAGTTCATTCAACATTTCACCCCTGTGATTGAAAGTCGAACAAAGTCATTATGTTGAACAAATTTTATAGCCTTTCATCTCAGGATGCAACTTGCAAAGTATCAACATCCTGGGACCCATGGTTATTCAGAAGAGGTCGTTTAAAGATTTTTAACAAATTTGATCCCTGTGACCTTGAATATAAGTCAAAGTCATTCACTTTAACAAACATAGTAGTCCTTGTTCCCAGCATGCTACTGACTAAATATCAACATCCTGAGCCTTTTGGTTATTCAGAACAAGTTGTTTAAATATTTTGAACATATTTGCTCCTTGTGACCTTGAATATGATTCAAGGTCATACATTTGAACAAACTGGGTAGCCCTTGATCCTAGTATGCTACTGACTAAATAACATCACCCTGGGCATTTTGGTTATTCATCAGAAGTTGTTTAAAGTTTTTAACATAGCTGACCCCTACGACCTTGCATATGGGTGAAGGTCATTCATTTGAACAAACTTTGTAGCCCTTCATCTCAGCATGCTACTGGCCAAATATCATCACCCTGGGCATTTTGGTTATTGAGAAGAAGTTGTCTAAAGGTTTTTTTATAACAATTGACCCCTGTGACCTTGAATATAATTGAAGGTCATTCATTTGAACAAACTTCGTGCCAGGTGAGCTAAAAATGGGCAACAACACTTAGCAGACATCTCAAGATGCTGCAGTCTCCAATTTTGATTTTCTCCGACACAAAGTATTTGACCTGCATACATTCTAGTATCAAAGCTGGAGTAGACAGGGTTTACTTTACTCAGAATCCTTACAGAATATATATGCACCCAGGCATTCAAATCATTAACTGATACGTTTCAAATTTTAATGTCAAAATCATTGAAACCAAGAACCTAATTAATTTTCCCAAACAGTATATATGTAATTATATTTGGTAACATATATATTAACATGATATAAACAGCCACACTCACAGCTGATTGTTGAGGATTAAATCATGAAGTGTTAGATTTCAAACCGTATCTTGGTGGGTTTCATTTTATTTGTGACAGTTTTATTACCAGCAGACAAATGAATTTAGTTGATGTTAAAATCTTAAGAACTTTTAATGCACAAATTTGTTTGTTTTGATTTGATGTTATTTACTTTAAACTGCATTTTGATTGTGCTTATAGAAGTATATTTCAAATTCCTTGAGCTGGTGGATTTTTATACCATTCAATAGATTAATTCTCAAACGTTTGAGGGTTACATAGACAACCTACATAATTTATATATACATCTCAGATCTGGTTAAAATAATTTAATAGAAAGATAAAACACTGTGAAAATATAATAACAGATTTCTTCAATGTTATAAAAACGATACACTCCGATTCCACAAAAAATATGATAAAACATATACATGTATGTACAAACTACTGAAATCACTCCAAAGGAGTATAACCAACTTTTTCATACCTGTTCATGAACGATAGTGAAATTCCACAGTGGAGCTATGATTTGAAAACTACATTCTGTACGTAAGATTGTACTGAGGTTCTCCCTCTCTTTATAACCCTAAAGGGTTCTCAACTCAACAGAAAAGAAACTCAACAGATTCCCAAACGTGTGAGGGTTACATAGACAACCTACATAATTCATATATACATCTCAGATCTGATTAAAATAAATTAAAAGAAAGATAAAACACTGTGTAAAATTAGTAACAGATTTCTTTAATGTTATAAAAACTATACACTCTACTGATTCCACAAAAAATAATACAAAAAAATATGTACAAACTACTGAAATCACTCCAAAGGAGTATAACCGACTTTTTCATACCTGTTTGTGAACGATAGCGAAATTCCACAGTGGAGCTATGATTTGAAAACTACATTCTGTACCTAAGATTGTACTGAAGTACTCCCTCTCTTTATAACCCAAAGGGTAGAATTTCCTGTATTCAATATACAAGTATGAAAGAGGATTTTTCTCTCATACCTTTGTAACAAATGAATCAAATGCCTAGTTACATATTGAGTGAGAATACTGATTCTCAAGCAGGCTGCCTGGCTGAAGTGTTGGTAACATATAGCATGCCATATAATAAGGTCGTAACTATCATTCAGCTCATGATATGCCAGATAACTGCGAGAGATCTTTACACTACATCATGACTCATTGCTTATGTGGGATAGCTCTGTCTTGTAAAGGTACGACAGAAATAATATACAACATCTTATAACAATAATATGGCAAATCTATAGGTACATGTAATTACACTATATTGAGCTCAGACTGTCTGTGTAAATGATTTCTGGGTTTAAAGTTAGCCTTTTGTATTTGATTGATTGTCATTAATGCTTTAAATTTTTGAAGTGTTGATTTTGTGCTTTCTTCAGAAAATAAAAATTTGTACCATGCAGAATATGTGCAATACAGGTCAGAGGTTTGTGGTGTCAGAACTCGAGAATTAACTTATGTCAGAGTTTTGTGATGTCAGAACGAGAGAGTTATGTCAGAGTTTTGTGGTTATAGTATGATGTCTGAGGTTTGTGATGTCAGAACGAGAGGGAGTTTTGTCAGAGTTTTGTGGTTATAGTATGATGTCTGAGGTTTGTGATGTCAGAACAAGAGAGTTATGGCAGAGTTTTGTGGTTATAGTATGATGTTTGAGGTTTATGATGTCAGAACGAGAGAGTTATGTCAGAGTTTTGTAGTTATGGGATGATGTTTGAGGTTTGTGATGTCAGAACGAGAGAGTTATGTCCGAGTTTTGTGGTTATAGTATGATGTCTGAGGTTTGTGATGTCAGAACAAGAGAGTTATGGCAGAGTTTTGTGGTTATAGTATGATGTTTGAGGTTTGTGATGTCAGAACGAGAGCGTTATGTCAGAGTTTTGTGGTTATGGTATGATGTCTGAGGTTTGTGATGTCAGACGCAGAGAGTTATGTCAGAGTTTTGTGGCTATGGTATGATGTTTGAGGTTTGTGATGTCAGAACGAGAGAGTTATGTCCGAGTTTTGTGGTTATAGTATGATGTCTGAGGTTTGTGATGTCAGAACGAGAGAGTTATGTCAGAGTTTTGTAGTTGTGGGATGATGGTAACTTGAAGTAGGGCATAGTAGCCTTGACCTTGGGAAGAGACTGGACACTTTGAAGACCTAGAAAGAAAAAAACATAACAAATATCACAACATAAGGGGCAAAGCAACACATGTCTACTTCAACAATGTCCATTTCCAAAATACATATATTTTTATAATAGTTTTATATAATTTTTATACACAGATGTATCAATTCTTTTTTTGGATTTTGTTTGTATCATTTTTACTAGATTTCTTGTAAAATATGCATATAGAGACAGAAAAAGTTTAATTTCCATACATCCGTACATATACTCCCTTACATCTGTAAATATACTCCCTTACATTCCTACATACTCCCTTACAACCATACACATACTCCCTTAAACCTGTACACATACTCCCTTACCCCTATACACATACTCCCTTACACCTGTACATATCCTCCCTTACCCCTATACACATACTCCCTTACACCTGTACAGATACTCCCTTACCCCTATACACATACTCCCTTACACCTGTACATATACTCCCTTACACTCACCCATACACATACTCCCTTACACCGGTACATATACTCCCTTACAACCATTCACATACTCCCTTACACCGGTACATATACTCCCTTACCCCTATACACATACTCCCTTACACTGGTACATATACTCCCTTACCCCTGTACACATACTCCCTTACAACCATACACATACTCCCTTACACCTGTTCACATACTCCCTTACAACCATACACATACTCCCTTACCCCTATACACATACTCCCTTACACCGGTACACATACTCCCTTACACCTGTACACATACTCCCTTACACCTGTACACATACTCCATTACACCTGTACACATACTCCCTTACACCTGTACACATACTCCCTTACACCTGTACACATACTCCCTTACACCTGTACACATACTCCCTTGCACCTGTACATATACTCCCTTACAACCATACACATACTCCCTTACACCGGTACATATACTCCCTTACCCCTATACACATACTCCCTTACACCGGTACACATACTCCCTTACACCCGTACACATACTCCCTTACAACCATACACATACTCCCTTACACCGGTACACATACTCCCTTACCCCCGTACACATACTCCCTTACAACCATTCACATACTCCCTTACACCGGTACACATACTCCCTTACACCCATACATATACTCCCTTACACCTGTACATATACTCCATTACAACCATACACGTACTCCCTTACACCGGTACACATACTCCCTTACCCCCGTACACATACTCCCTTACAACCATTCACATACTCCCTTACACCGGTACATATACTCCCTTACAACCATACACATACTCCCTTACACCTGTACGTATACTCCCTTACACCTGTTTACATATTCCCTTACAACCATACACATACTCCGTTACACCTGTACGTATACTCCCTTACACCTGTACATATACTCCATTACAACCATACACGTACTCCCTTACACCTGTACATATACTCCCTTACAACCATACACATACTCCCTTTCACCTGTTCATATACTCCCTTACCCCTATACACATACTCCCTTTCACCTGTACATATACTCCCTTACAACCATACACATACTCCCTTACCCCTGTTCACATATTCCCTTACAACCATACATATACTCCGTTACACCTGTACACATGCTCTCTCACACCTGTACATATACTCCCTTACAACCATACACATCCTCCCTTACACCTGTACGTATACTCCCTTACACCTGTACATATACTCCCTTACACCTGTACATATACTCCCTTACATTCCTACATACTCCCTTACAACCATACACATACTCCCTTACACCTGTACGTATACTCCCTTACACCTGTACATATACTCCCTTACACTTGTACATATACTCCCTTAAACCTGTACATATACTCCCTTACACCTGTACATATACTCCCTAACACCTGTACATATACTCCCTTACACCTGTACATATACTCCCTTAAACCTGTACATATACTCCCTTACGCCTGTACATATACTCCCTAACACCTGTACATATACTCCCTTACACCTTTACATATACTCCCTTACACCTGTACATATACTCCCTTAAACCTGTACATATACTCCCTTACACCTGTACATATCCTCCCTTACACTTGTACATATACTCCCTTACAACCATACACATACTCCCTTTCACCTGTTCATATACTCCCTTACCCCTATACACATACTCCCTTACACCGGTACATATACTCCCTTACTCCGTTACACCTGTACGTATACTCCCTTACGCCTGTACATATACTCCATTACAACCATACACGTACTCCCTTACCCCTGTACATATACTCCCTTACACCTGTACATATACTCCCTAACACCTGTACATATACTCCCTTACACCTGTACATATATTCCCTTACACCTGTACATATACTCCCTTACACTTGCACATATACTCCCTTACACCTGTACATATACTCCCTTCCACTTGTACATATACTCCCTTAAACCTGTACATATACCCCCTTACACCTGTACATATACTCCCTAACACCTGTACATATACTCCCTTACACCTGTACATTTACTCCCTTACACTTGTACATATACTCCCTTACAACCATACACATACTCTCATAGACCTGTTCAAATACTCCCACCTGTACACATACTCCCTTACCCCTGTACATATACTCCCTTACACCTGTACATATCCTCCCTTACACTTGTACATATACTCCCTTACAACCATACACATACTCTCTTAGACCTGTTCAACCCCTATACACATACTCCCTTACACCGGTACATATACTCCCTTACTCCGTTACACCTGTACGTATACTCCCTTACACCTGTACAAATACTCCCTTACCCCTATACACATACTCCCTTACCCCTATACACATACTCCCTTACACCTGCACATATACTCCCTTACACTTGTACATATACTCCCTTAAACCTGTACATATACTCCCTTACGCCTGTACATATACTCCCTAACACCTGTACATATACTCCCTTACACCTGTACATTTACTCCCTTACACTTGTACATATACTCCCTTACACCTGTACATATACTCCCTTACCCCTATACACATACTCCCTTTCACCTGTACATATACTCCCTTACAACCATACACATACTCCCTTACACCTGTACGTATACTCCCTTACACCTGTACATATACTCCCTTACACCTGTACATATATTCCCTTACACCTGTACATATACTCCCATACACCTGTACACGTACTCCCTTACACCCTTACCATTACTCCCTTACACCAATACACACACTCCCTTACGCCTGTACATACAAACACTTCCTTACCCCAATTCACATACACTCACATACACTCACACATCATTTTATAATTTGTTTTAGCATCATCACCATTATCATTATCATACTAGCACTAATACCATCATCATGACACTGAATCATTATCCTCACCACCATCATCATTACACTGGTATCATCATGACACATAATTATCATCATCATGATGAGCTTCATTGAATAACATAAACATAGGAAAACAGTTTTGTTCTGTATGAGTGACTCACCACAAACATTGACACCAGAATACCCCATATAGCCCCAGCAAGGATGTCACTCCAGTGATGTTTGTTGTCAAACACTCGGGAAATACATGTGTAAAACGCCATCAGGAACAGGATCAGCTGAATCCAGGGGCGGAGAATCACTGCCTGTCGCCACTGCATACGTGACTGAATATACAGCTAAAACAAAGCACAAAATATACAGCTAAAACATAGGACAAAGTAGACAGCTTAAACACAGGACAAAGTATACAGCTAAAACATAGAACAAAATATACAGCTAAAACACAGGACAAAATATACAGCTAAAACATAGAACAAAATATACAGCTAAAACATGGACAAAGTAGACAGCTAAAACATAGAACAAAATATACAGCTAAAACACAGGACAAAATATACAGCTAAAACACAGGACAAAATATACAGTTAAAAAACATGGACAAAGTAGACAGCTAAAACATAGGACAAAGTATACAGCTAAAACATAGAACGAAATATACAGCTAAAACATAGGACAAAATATACAGCTAAAACATGGACAAAATATACAGCTAAAACATAGGACAAAGTAGACAGCTAAAACATAGAACAAAATATACAGCTAAAACATAGGACAAAATATACAGCTAAAACACAGGACAAAATAGACAGCTAAAACACATGGACAAAGTAGACAGCTAAAACATAGGACAAAGTATACAGCTAAAACATGGACAAAATATACAGCTAAAACATAGGACAAAATATACAGCTAAAACACAGGACAAAATATACAGCTAAAACATGGACAAAATAGACAGCTAAAAACATAAGACAAAGTATACAGCTAAAACATAGGAAAAAATATACGCTAAAACATAGAACAAAATATACAGCTAAAACATAGGACAAAATATACAGCTGAAACACAGGACAAAATAGACAGCTAAAACACATGGACAAAGTAGACAGCTAAAACATAGGACAAAGTATACAGCTCAAACATGGACAAAATATACAGCTAAAACATAGGACAAAATATACAGCTAAAACATAGAACAAAATATACAGCTAAAACATAGGACAAAGAAGACAGCTAAAACATAGGACAAAGTATACAGCTAAAACATAGAACAAAATATACAGCTAAAACATGGGACAAAGAAGACAGCTAAAACAAAAATATACAGCTAAAACATAGGACAAAGTAGACAGCTTAAACATAGGACAAAGTAGACAGCTAAAACATAGGATAAAGTAGATAGCTAAAACATATGATGATGCATACAGCTAAATGGTACATGACACACTGCCTTGAAAAATATACCTAAAGTGTATGAAGAAGTTAAACATTTCATTTAGAAGCCCTCAATCAACCATCTGATCATGAACAAGATACAAATGTAAGATATTAAAACAACCATCTGACAAAGATACAAATGTAAGATGTTAAAAAACCATCTGAACAAGATACAAATGTAAGATATTAAAACAACCATCTGAACAAGATACAAATGTAAGATGTTAAAACAACCATCTGAACAAGATACAAATGTAAGATGTTAAAACAACCATCTGAACAAGATACAAATGTAAGATGTTAAAACAACCATCTGAACAAGATACAAATGTAAGATGTTAAAACAACCATCTGAACAAGATACAAATGTAAGATGTTAAAACAACCATCTGAACAAGATACAAATGTAAGATGTTAAAACAACCATCTGAACAAGATACAAATGTAAGATGTTAAAACAACCATCTGAACAAGATACAAATGTAAGATGTTAAAACAACCATCTGAACAAGATACAAATGTAAGATGTTAAAACAACCATCTGAACAAGATACAAATGTAAGATGTTAAAACAACCATCTGAACAAGATACAAATGTAAGATGTTAAAACAACCATCTGAACAAGATACAAATGTAAGATGTTAAAACAACCATCTGAACAAGATACAAATGTAAGATGTTAAAACAACCATCTGAACAAGATACAAATGTAAGATGTTAAAACAACCATCTGAACAAGATACAAATGTAAGATGTTAAAACAACCATCTGAACAAGATACAAATGTAAGATGTTAAAACAACCATCTGAACAAGATACAAATGTAAGATGTTAAAACAACCATCTGAACAAGATACAAATGTAAGATGTTAAAACAACCATCTGAACAAGATACAAATGTAAGATGTTAAAACAACCATCTGAACAAGATACAAATGTAAGATGTTAAAACAACCATCTGAACAAGATACAAATGTAAGATGTTAAAACAACCATCTGAACAAGATACAAATGTAAGATGTTAAAACAACCATCTGAACAAGATACAAATGTAAGATGTTAAAACAACCATCTGAACAAGATACAAATGTAAGATGTTAAAACAACCATCTGAACAAGATACAAATGTAAGATGTTAAAACAACCATCTGAACAAGATACAAATGTAAGATGTTAAAACAACCATCTGAACAAGATACAAATGTAAGATGTTAAAACAACCATCTGAACAAGATACAAATGTAAGATGTTAAAACAACCATCTGAACAAGATACAAATGTAAGATGTTAAAACAACCATCTGAACAAGATACAAATGTAAGATGTTAAAACAACCATCTGAACAAGATACAAATGTAAGATGTTAAAACAACCATCTGAACAAGATACAAATGTAAGATGTTAAAACAACCATCTGAACAAGATACAAATGTAAGATGTTAAAACAACCATCTGAACAAGATACAAATGTAAGATGTTAAAACAACCATCTGAACAAGATACAAATGTAAGATGTTAAAACAACCATCTGAACAAGATACAAATGTAAGATGTTAAAACAACCATCTGAACAAGATACAAATGTAAGATGTTAAAACAACCATCTGAACAAGATACAAATGTAAGATGTTAAAACAACCATCTGAACAAGATACAAATGTAAGATGTTAAAACAACCATCTGAACAAGATACAAATGTAAGATGTTAAAACAACCATCTGAACAAGATACAAATGTAAGATGTTAAAACAACCATCTGAACAAGATACAAATGTAAGATGTTAAAACAACCATCTGAACAAGATACAAATGTAAGATGTTAAAACAACCATCTGAACAAGATACAAATGTAAGATGTTAAAACAACCATCTGAACAAGATACAAATGTAAGATGTTAAAACAACCATCTGAACAAGATACAAATGTAAGATGTTAAAACAACCATCTGAACAAGATACAAATGTAAGATGTTAAAACAACCATCTGAACAAGATACAAATGTAAGATGTTAAAACAACCATCTGAACAAGATACAAATGTAAGATGTTAAAACAACCATCTGAACAAGATACAAATGTAAGATGTTAAAACAACCATCTGAACAAGATACAAATGTAAGATGTTAAAACAACCATCTGAACAAGATACAAATGTAAGATGTTAAAACAACCATCTGAACAAGATACAAATGTAAGATGTTAAAACAACCATCTGAACAAGATACAAATGTAAGATGTTAAAACAACCATCTGAACAAGATACAAATGTAAGATGTTAAAACAACCATCTGAACAAGATACAAATGTAAGATGTTAAAACAACCATCTGAACAAGATACAAATGTAAGATGTTAAAACAACCATCTGAACAAGATACAAATGTAAGATGTTAAAACAACCATCTGAACAAGATACAAATGTAAGATGTTACAATGTTTCTCTGATGTTTTATGCAAAAGGTCAAATACTGACCCCTGCTATTGTATAAGTTTCAATGAAATCAAGGAAACGTATTAAGGTTTAGTTGCATGAACAAGATAAAATGAAGTCAAGGGAAGTATATATGAAAGCAAAGTTAACTTCCCTTTATAACAATTAGTACTATATCACTTGCTTTGAAACTATATCTGGGGTTGAAATATTGGCTAAAATTTAAAACTCACAATTAAAAACAGCATACTGTAGACTGAAAATGATGCATGTCCAGAGGGAAAAGATAATCTGAAGTAAGAGAAAAAGATACCAAAATTTAATTAACTGTCAATCATATATAGTCAATGATATGTGTTAATTGTAAATGAAACATACCTGGTATGTGAAATACAAGTAAAAATATATATGTTTATTGAATAAGTATAACCTCACAATAACCATTGTTTAACCTAGCTTTGGGAATGATATCTGATACCCCATACTTAAGGAATCCTCAATGTATTCTATATAAGTATGTTACAGTAATTGAAACCTTTGACCTATTGTTGCCATGACACCTACCTGGCTTGGTTGATAACATCTACATCTCCTGTACACTTGTAATTTTCAATGTATCCTGTGCTACAATTGAAAGAACTCTGGTCGGGCTGGCAAACTGCCAGAAAATGAGGGCGGAGCCTTCCAAGGGAATACTTGGCTATCCCACGTGCCAGAAACTCCAGTGCACCTCCAAACATAAATGGCAAGATCACATTGTACACAGCACAAAGGTACAAAGTCATACGAGACGGGCTACTTCCAGGGCCATCATGATTTTCATTGTCAGACGTTTTTGAGGAAGTGGGTAATATCAGGCCAGCAACACCTTTAGGTATCCACAGAGCTTCAACAATGAAAATCTGGAAATATCCTACATTCATTAATTTTCTCTAAAAAAAAAATATTCATTGTACAACAATGTTCTAGTAAATGCTGCTCTCTCCCTTTTTTCATATCAGAAAAAAATTCCAGTGGCCCTTCTTGCTATCATCAAAGTACTGCTTAGAATTGAATTTAGCAATTTTCAAATTTTCTCCTCATTCCTGCCAACATGGTAAGAATGACAATAGTTTTCCTATGTAACTATGATATTTGATTTGCTGCCCTATTTCAAGAATAACATATGACTGATAGATTTGTCACCCGTGTACATCGTAACTACAAACTGTACAGGACGCAGACAGATACAGTTTTGGGGTGGCTGATACATGCATGTGCGGGGACAACTTACAAACTTAATATAACTATATAATATATATATATAACACATGTATAAGCATAGCTATTGAATGTAAGGTGTACGAATAGTGAAAGACCACCTACATGTGGACACTTTATTGTTCGGGGGCTGATCCCAGGGCTCCTCAACCCTGGCAGCCTCCAACAACCACTGAATATTCGCATATGCATATGTCAAAGATCTATGAAAATGAGAATATCAAAATGCTGAGGGATTAAAATTTGTATATATAAAAAAATAAAAATAAATACAAATTGTTCAGCAGGATTACTGGATTATTATTCTCCAAAATAGTGTTGAGATGTTTTATGATTGGTTCCCATTTATTCCTGCTATAGACTTAAATTTAGAATGAAGAGTACTCAAATGTTTTGGATACTGAAAATGATACATGAGCATGCAAGCCTTGATTTGGTTATCACATGCACATTTACAATCATGTACAACAAAGTGAAAGTGTGCAACATATCATGGCAATGCTGAGTTTTTTCAATGATGTAGTAAATACAAATCTAAAGAAGCATTGTGGATATGTGAATACTGAGTATCTTAAATCCTGTAAATGTCCCATGTCAATATGACTAAAGAATGTACTTATAAACCAAAATATAAATTGATTTTTCATCAACTTATTACAGCTATTTACATTTTCTCACTCAAAAAGTACCTACCAGTATCTCCTATTCAAATTTCTAAAGCACCCTGGGTAATTATCACGGAATACAATGTATGTACGGTACAGCAATACTTCCATCAAACTTATGCTACTTTAATAACACAGTTTTCTTAATAATTGATCAACAATGGCCAAGGGAGGAACATTTGTACAAAACAGAACTTGACATTGTGTAAAATCTTATGATGAGCAGAAGACAGACAATAGATGGATACTTAAGCTATGAAAATTGATAAAAAAATCCTACCAAATGTAGCACATACATGTATTCATACTTACCAACAAAAAATTCAGTCCAAACCCCACAAGGTAGAGCACTGTGGATGGTATGGTGGAACTGTGGTAGGGGTAACTGATACTCTCATCATCACAGTAAAATCCACGGCGATAAGGAGTCATCAACAGATGGACCAGCCCTGCACACAGCGCAACTGAAATGTAAACACCATCATTTAACATCAAATAAGAAAGAGGCATCTGAAATATGATAAGATCCTACATGTAATAAGTAGCAAGAGGCCCAGAAGATCTGTATCACTCACTTGAATATTGAAGAAATCTTGGCAAAATATTCTTATTAAAAGGAATACTGCAAATAAGACCACAAGGTTGGGTCTAATCCTGGAAGCATGATTGTGTTCATCTCTTCATGACCAGAAACCTCATATAAATGGTTAAAGGTTAAATTGGTTGCCTAATTAACTGTTTCTAAGTTATGATTAGAGTATGATTAAGTCTCCAGGTGCAGTCCACAAAGTGTATTAGTATCTTTATTCCCAGCAGTTCAAACTGTTGTATATATGATTATTGGATGAGATCTCAACCCATCGATGGTATGACCCAGGGACTTGGGGCAGAGTAGGACGTGTTGCCAATCATGGTAGCATGCATGATTGTGTTTGTCTCTTCATGCCGAGCAATCAGGAATTTGGTTATATTACAGAGAGACGACATCAACCAAATCTGATCACGTAAAGTTTTTCAACCCAACTAAAGTCATCATGCAGACAGCCCCTCCTTTTGCCCAAAATGAATCCACACAACCATGCATGTCTTTTTGCTGCGACCTTAATCTTCTTCCCGAATAGAGTGAACTCAGAGTAGAGTGTTAAGACTCCAGTGCTGGGTGGGCAAACAGATAAACAATGTACTTATAGTTAAAATTAAAAATCTTATAAAGCATTAAGGAGAGGTGGAGGAGTACAGACACGTCCTGCAAAAGGATGGCATGTCTGAATTTGAAGCTATCGCTGGATGGTATCTCTTGAACAGGCGGGGGGATTGAATTCCATGCTCGTATTGTTGGTGGGATGAAGGAGAATTTGGTATCCACATGTACGGCTAGTGTTCATATGATTATAATGTTATCAAAATATTACATATTCGTTCATCGTTGAAATAACAAATCTTTACTAAAAACTCTAAAAATAGAAACGACGGCCATGTTAGATCACGTGTGATGTTATCCGTTTCCCTCTATGGCCTTCACGGCCAAATAAAGTATTACTACCGATATGCGGTCATGTTTACTACAATTTCCATATTTGGTCATGACACCCATATTTAGACGTCTGACCTATATCGGAAAGATAGACGAAGTTTCCAACATGGCAGTCAATTAAGATTTCGCTTGCACTTGTTACGTAAACTTGATAATTTAACGACATATAAGGCAGAGTATAACTTACAATTATGTAGGAGATCAACATAAAAAGTTCATATTACAAACCTATTAATGGATACGGATCCTGTCAATTAATTCTAAAATCGCCTCCGTGTGATTCACACCAGGCTTGCCTAACTAAAATGGGATCAACCGGCCGGGGCAGATGAGACCGGGAATCATGTTAGAACTAGCCACTGTCCTTCTCTAGTTCCATATTGGTATTCTAACCTGAAGGCTTTTTTTACCTTCGCAGTATTATCATTTTGTTCTATTTTCATCATAAGATATGCTATTGCATTTTTATATCGCCTTCTCGCTAATTACAGCTCAGCCAGAAACGAAAATATGCTCCGATAGGCCTACATTTTATATGTCTGTTGGTGTGATTTGTGTTTTTCGTTTATTGAAGTATTACCATATAACAGGACTCTTTTATTTCAATATACACAAAAACAACAACACCTTCGGAATGATTTCAGACATATACTGCGGGAAAACACGAGTGATCTCCCTTACATTTAGACATGCGCACATTTTACTTTCGTTTTGTGTAGGCCTAGACATCATTCGCAACGCGAAGCGGAAAAGACGAAAATGCAGGCGAGTGTTGACTTAATGTTAGGCATGTTGTTTAAGCAGCATTGCCAATGAACAATATACATACACTTCTGCAACGTTTACCTACTACTGATTCATAAATAAGGCTCTGTATCCCGATTTCGGTGACTTGTGGCCAAGCATGCGGCCGAAGCCGCAGAGAATGGCGCATGTTGTCAGCGGCGATGACAAAAAGGAAGGTGCTTCTACGGTATGTATAGCAGTAATTATGCAAAAACAAACAAAATAAATGGAGTTTTTACTCTAGTGAATTACAGCGTCACAAGGAACGTCTTTCTCCAGACGTGTTGCAAAATTTTCGAACCGCTAAGTTGCAAACTGATTTCACTTCAGCGTTGTTTGTGAGGATATTTGGCCTTACATTTATTCTCATTCAGTTAAAAAAAAAACATGTTATAAACATTGTATTAATTGATTCATTGTGATGTTGGCTGTCATTGAAGTTTCAATTGTTATACTACTTGATGTTTTGGAAACTTAAAAAAGTATAGTAAGTTCTAAATATTATGAAATGACAGAAACATTAGGCCAAACAAATTACTTGTGTTTCTACTATCAGAAAAAAAATAGGGTAGGTATGTAATAGCTAGGCATTTTCTTGTTAATTTGAAAAATATCTTTACTGCGCTAATATAGAGCAGGAGTTCTGACTTTAACAGTGCATATAAAAACTTCAGGGTATTGTAGGAACACAAATCTGAGATAAGTCTGGTTAACCACACTGGTGTCGAACACACCAATAAGTATAGTGTGTATAATATATCATAGTTTATACACATCATATTACTATTAGTGTGTCCAGTATCTGTGGGGTTAGCATAAACACAATATTTGTTTTAAACTTTTAATTGGCCTTATTTAATGATCATTAATAGGTCAGACAGGGTTCGGTTTCCAATTCGGAAACTAGACCTGTTAAAACAGTTATCATTTGTAATTTAGAGATTAAATATTTCTAAGCAGAAAAAAATGAACTATAAATATTTTTCAACCTTTTCTGAGTTGTACAATTTTAGAGTATCTTCTGTCTGAAATCTGAACATAACTTGTTTTATGATAAATGTGTAAAACAATTCCTCATACTGGGGTAAAGTTTTTCTATATATAGTCCCAAAAACTACAGATAAAATCCTTGAGCACGTACAAGATACAAAAATATATATTTTACGTCCATTTTGCAAAACATACAACATAAGCTACAAAGACAAAACATGAGTATAATAACAGAGACCAAAATATTACAACATGGAAAAATAAAATAAAAACATGTATGTACATGTAGTATACTGTAAGCTCAGAAAAAGAGTTTATCACTTGGAAAGCACTTAATAGGCACATTGCACACGGTAAGCACATCAGCACATGGTAATTTAAGCACATTTAGAACATTTGCATACAGCACATAAAAAACAAAACCATAACATGGAAAGCTTATTAGCACATAGTAGGCACATTTGCACACTGTAAGCAAAATAAAGGAGTGCAATGGACATCTCCATATTTCCTGGTTAATTTCTTCTTTCTGGAAACAACCAGGGGAGAGTGATGTTCTGCTTCATCTTTTGTATTAATGAAAACCGTGAATATCTAAGTGCGTGTGTTTAAACTAATTTTGTTTTGTTTTTACTGGTACCTTTTTAGCCCACCATCATTTGATGGTGGGCTATTCAAATCACCCTGCGTCCGTGGTCCGTCGTCCGTCGTCCGCCGTCTGTCGTCCGTCCGTAATTCTTGTTATCGGTATTTCTCAAGAAGTACCAGAGGGATCTTTCACAAATTTTATATGTAGGGGAACACACATTTTATATGTAGGTTCCCCTTGGTCTTTAGCTGTGCAGGGCAACTTTTGAGACTGATCGGATAAACAACATGGCCGACAGGCAGCCATCTTGGATTTTGATATTGAAAGTTTGTTATCGCTATTTCTCAAGAAGTACCAGAGGGATCTTTCTCAAATTTTATATGTAGGGGAACACAAATTTTATATGTAGGGGAACACAAATTTTATATGTAGGTTCCCCTTGGTCCTTAGCTGTGCAGGGCACTTTTGAGATTGATCGGATAAACAACATGGGCGACAGGGAGCCATCTTGGATTTTGATAGTGAAAATTTGTTATCGCTATTTCTCAAGAAGTACCAGAGGGATCTTTCTCAAATTTTATATGTAGGTTCCACTTGGTCCTTAGCTGTGCAGGGCACTTTTGAGATTGATCGGATAAACAACATGGGCGACAGGTAGCCATCTTGGATTTTGATAGTGAAAGTTTGTTGCCGCTATTTCTCCGGAAGAACTAGAGGGATCTTTCTTAAATTTTATATGTAGGTTCCCCTTGGTCCTTACTGTGCAGGGCAATTTTAAAGACTGATCGGATAAACAACATGGCCGACAGGCAGCCATCTTGGATTTTGATAGTGAAAGTTTGTTATCGCTATTTCTCT